TGCGGGTTCATTTCTATGAGTGACCACAAGACAAAACAAGCAGTCTTATGATAAAAATATTTATTATAGAAGAGTAACCAATAGAGATCGATAATGCCTAAATGATTCATGACCTTTTGAGATGCTGATCTGCAAAATGTTAAATGGAAAGATTTCTGTGATTCTTAAGGTTTGCCTTTGTATTGTTTTCTTTTTTATTGGCACTTTGGCAATTCTCATCTTCACACTAATGTGTCTTAACTAGGTCGCCTTTAAGAAACATCTGCTGAGCTCGCTGCCTGAGGATTAAGCATAGTAGTAGTAGTAGTAGTAGTAGTAGTAGTAGTAGATTGGTTGCTGCCCTTTGTAAAGGCCAACTAAGCAGAATTAAACCACACTCAACCTGGGACTTGGTAATACAACACAATACAGTACGGTTGTGAGTATAATTGCTGTGGATTAGACCTAGTGTAGCCTGAGCTGGCCCGTGTGTTTTTCTGTTTGGAGATGTGTAGATGATGCAGTAAATGTTAAGGGATTAGTCAAAGCTGAAGGGTCACAGCACTAATCTCATTACGGCAGGAGGAGAAGGAGGGATCTGACCACTCCTGAACGACTTAGCAGACAGCCTTGACACTGGGGGAATCCCTGTTTCACCGCAGAGGACACTCCCACACACACATGCTCTAATGCACATACAGGTTCTTCCATTGCAAGTTGTTTTAAAGGTGTTTAAACCCATTATGGAGCATTAGATTATATCTTTCTGGAGGGATTTTAAATATGAATCAAATGTGGATGACACACAATAGATATGATGATTCTGTTGGGTCCTCACTTGTGGTGTTGAGGATGTAATAAACCCTCTGAAAGTGTTAACTAAGCTTACATCTTGGAGAGTTTATAGGCTTTGTGTGTAGTTTAACATCATTAAAGGCACATGGAACCAAGAGTTTTGTTTCAATCATTAAATTAAAGGAGAAAGTTATAAACAGAAGTGACTACATCAGAAACAAATGGAAATGAGTCTTTCTTCTGGCAGATTTTTCCCCTTGCTTTAAGAAAATTAAGTTTTTAAGATGGAATATGAGGCTAAATGACTCGTTAAGGCTGACACATTGCAGTGCATGTGAGGTCATGGTGAAACAGTGCGGACAAGAACTGTGAGTCCTCCAAAACAAAACAGTAAAACTCCAAGCGAACCTATAAATGAAATGTGCCTTTCTGTCTTTCCTTCATCTGTCTGTCTGCACTCAGCAAACACAGGCACTGGGTTACACATGGGTGCGTGCACATGGTCACACACACACACACACACACACATGCATGCACACACACACACACACACACACACACACACACACACACACACACATACACACTGTAATACAAGCACACGGACACACACAAGCCACAATGACACATCCCAGTGAGAGTTTCAGCTTTTCTTGTGACAATAATAAAACCTAGAGCCAGGAAAAAAAAGGAGAATGACCAGCAGAAGACACGTGGACAGACAAAACCTTGCTTTAAAAACCATCCTTTTGATCTTTTCCTTTCCTTCCTCTTCACTTACTCCCACATCTCCTGCTCTGTCACTTAGACCAGTGGATGGCATCTAATTAAGATGCGTTATCTTCCTAGTTTGTGTTTTGCTGTTACTTCAGTTTCCTGAGAGATGCAGGCACTGAAGCAGCTTTATTAGGCCAAGCTGCTTGGCCGAGAGGTCGAAGGTGAGAGTGATTTGTTTGAATTATTTCCAGCTTGAATACACCATCATTCTAGACATGCAGTGTTAGGACAGCTGGAGACCTTTGTGCCAATGGGAAAATGGCCGATTGATTATTTAGCATGTCAAACTCTGTTTACGCTGGAGCAGGAGGGTAATTATTTTGACAAGACTTTATTAGCAACGATAAGGTGATCACAGGGTATTGCCATGACAATGTTAATGTTGGCATGTCAGTGAGGCTGTTGGTTCAACTGTGCACTTCAAAAAACATCTTAAGAATTTAATACTGAATATAAGTCTGAGAAACAAATGAAGGGTTCTCTCACTGTTTAAACACCAAGAAGTCAAAGTGTAGAGAGAATCTGTAAAACAGGGATTTTCTTTTTAAATATCATATATACATGTATGGGAGTGTAAAGTTAACAGAGGCTGCTAATTGCTCATTGCTCTAGAACAACGAATCAGCACTCCTTTTAAACAGAGATCTCATTATATTGACGTTAAGAAGACCCCTCATTTTGCATCTTTTTCTTGTTTGCACTGAATCAAACATAATGCCGCCCCAGTGTGTGATTTTTAAATAGCATCAGAGACATAGAATCAGAGGTGTTACATGTAACACAACAGTGTCGTCGCCCGGTCCCGCCATGCCACTTCTCCCTTTTATACAGACATTGTTTCGGCCCTAAAGGTGGAACAACAAAGCTCCCTATATGCAGAGCGGCGAGGTGCAATCAAGACACATCATTACCACCTTCAACAGGTTGTGTAAAAGAGGCAACTTACAGTAACATCAACATTAGCCTGCACAGAAGGGGTCCTTAATGGGTCTTATATGCAGCCATGCAGTTTCTAGACACTTCTGAGGCCACTGCTCGGTAAACACAAATGAGGATATGTGACTATTAAATTTATATATCTGGCCTGTATATTGTGATTGGCTTTTATGTGTTTAGGGACGTACCACACTGACCTGAATTCAGTTTTAAATGATTTCACTTGTTAAACAGAGAGAGCAACTTCTTACAGGAAACGAGTGGTACAGCAGAATGAATCAAGCCAAGTTTAAGGCTTATCGCTGCTGCTGACATGCTCCTGATGCACAGCAGACGCTTTGGTAAAGGTTACCCTGACAGACCCACTCATGCCCTGATCGTCTGAATGAACCATTGACACTCAAGAGCCAGACGGAGTGTTCCCTGCCTCATTAAGTGCCCACTTGATTTCCAGGGAAACCTAGACGGACAAGAACAAGGAAATCAGTCCAAACTGGTTATTTGAAGAGAAGAGTTAACAGTCAACAGTTAGTTCGTCTGTTGTCATTTGTTAAATGAGATGCAGATCGTGGCACCCGCCTCTTAGGCTTGTTCTCCTGCGTTGAAGGAAAGTAACATCATCATCTCAAACTAAACATCTGGACTATCTGAGAAAAGGTTAAAAATCAACATTTTATACAAATGACATGGAAGAGACAAATACTGTGTGTACACTGTGTATTTTGGGAAGGGAAATTACCAACTTTCTCAGATGTTCCCTCTGCCTTGATTACCCAAAAGCAATTGGCCCTCTTCCCTCACACACTGGCCTGCACCCTTTCCTTTCCATCCTTTCCTTTCCTTTCCATCCTTTCCTTTCCTTTCCTTTCCTTTCATTTCCTTTCCTTTCCTTTCATTTCCTTTCCTTTCCTTTCCTTTCCTTTCCTTTCCATCCTTTCCTTTCCTTTCCTTTTCACTCGCAGTATGTTTTGCTTCTTTGGGAAGGTCTGAGTTACATTTTCCCACACATTTTGTGTTGTCTCTCAGCACTAATAATTTGGTTGATTCGATTATCTCTGTTGTAAACTATCACAGATGTATTTTATGAATGTGCTCCTGATCTCACAGAAAGGGTCCTGCAGATGGAGAGACAGACAGGCCTGTAATTCTTCGTCTGTGTGCGGAATGATAATGATTTTGACCCTGGCCTTGGGTTAGCCTTGCCTTGCCTTGCTCAGTGACGGTTACCACTGAGCTCAAGACAGCAGGATAGACTGGCCGGCTCCGTAGCCAGGCTAACCCATGTCTGGGCGCACATCAGGGGGTGTGTTTGCTGTCCTGCCCTGCCCTTACCTCTATACTCTTTTAACCAGCTGCCTCCCTCCTGATGGACTGAAGGATTTATCATTAACATGCAAACTCGGGATTTACACACACAGGTTCCCAAACCCCCCGCTGACACACAGCTGAATGCACAACTGTTCATACACACAAATGGACAATATGGACACCAAACTAAACAGACTTTGAGCTTAATGCAGAGCACTTAGGAAAATTATTTCTGTTGTCTGATCATTATAGGGATCTGTACATGCAAATACAAATGCTGTATAATGTGCAGATACAAATATTTGTTTGTTCGGGGGGTAGACAAAATGAGAAGGACACTGGAGGATTGAGCAAAATCTAGTATAACACAAATTCCACTCTCAAAATGATCATAAAGTTTAATTACCATCTCTGTTGTACAGTCCAAACAAAAACATATTTTTACAGGCTTCATAAAGGTATTATGTATTACATCTTGTCAACCCCTGTACATACATGTAAACACATAAACACACACCTTAAGAGACAGATCAAAGAAGAAGTTATATGAATATATAGGAGGACATACTATAGAATATGATTTAATACCAGAGAAACACATTGAAAAAGGATTATGATTGTGAAACTACTGTGTAGGAGATAATACTGTACCAAATGGTCACAATAAACATTTTAAGACACTGTAGGGATATTATACGAGTATATTAATCATGTCTTTGTGTTGGAGGATAGAAATAATTAGGCTAAATATCAGTGTGATGGTATAAGAGCTGTTGGTTCTGAGTGTTTTCCGTGTCGTGACCTGAATACTTCACTGTTGAAGCCCGGCCAGCAGCTCATTAACATTCCAATACAGCTCTAATCACTACTGCAACGTGTGTGTGTGTGGGAGTGTGAATGTGTGCATGTGAGAGAGACCATGCACGTGTTGCTCTGCAAGTGAGGACGCGGTGAAAGTGTGTGATGAAGTGCCTGCCACAGGGGATCAGAACCGACTGGTGTCATCGGTTCTGTCAACTTGCATCGCTCCTCTTGCATCTCAGACAATTGCACATAGATAATGTCCAAAAGGTTTACAAGGTCTTACATCAGATGGAAACACATTTTTATTACTTTTCATACTTGCTTCTCCCACTCTAAAAGGTCTTGTTGCCGTTTGTTGACTTGACAAATAACCACTTCTATGTCTCTCTCTGTCTCTACAGAAAGACTGTATAACTCCAATGGACGTGACTTAAGAAGGGCGCTGTTCTCTCTAAAGCAAATTTTTCAGGTAACACACACACATACACACACACACACACACACACACACACACACACATATTTCATCTGCAATTACATTCAGTTTGTTGTTGCAGAATACAGTTGGTTATTGTGGCCACTGTGCGCTTCCATGATGACAGACAGAGATCTCCATCAACGTGGCATTTCTCTCCCTGTGTGTTTCTGTGTGATTACGTGTGTGTGTGTGTGTGTGTGTGTGTGTCTGTCTGTCTGTCTGTCTGTGGACAGGGGGGGTGTTTGCATTTGTGTGTGAATCTTTATTTTAAGATGAGGAGTCAGCCACTTCAAACACAGAGGGTATTTTATTCTGGGACACACACACACACACACACACACACAAAAGAACTCAAATATAATAACACATGGTTCAAGAAATAAAACAGTGAACTTTCAAATTGTTTTAACTACAGCAGTGTACAAGTGCTATTGTCATGATTACAATGTTCACATTCACTAATGCCCCAAAAAAGCCGTGTCAGTGGCTGAAGGTAAACGCAGTGACTTTTGACATCTCCTCCTTATTCCAGTAACATTTTTTTCTGCAAAAAACATAACAGCTACTGTACCAATGAAATGTGTTTTCCCAGGTCCCATGTTCATTTGCCCGTAAAAGCTCTTGAATGAGGAAAAAGCCACACATAATATGTCTTAGAGCTTAGACAGTGCACCTGAAGGCAACATTAATATAAGAGTCCTTTGCAGTGTTTGCATCATGCTTATAGATTTGTTTTTGTTATAAGAGATGATCTGTAAAAAGACAGTTGTTGACATTTGGAGTGTGTTTATCAGCTGGCCTGAAATTCTGCACATTACTGCCCCCATGTGGTAAGAACAGAGTTTTGTGTGGTTCAGTGCTGTATGCAGTTTATATTGTAATAACTTATTAATTATTTTTTTTATCTATTTCTTCTTCTGTGTGTCAGGATGACAAAGATCTGGTCCATGAGTTTGTGATGGCTGAAGGTCTGACATGTCTCATCAAGGTGGGAGCAGAAGCTGACCAGAACTACCAGAACTACATATTACGAGGTAGAGCCTCTCTCTTCCTTTCTGATCACCATAATCAGATACATCATTGCAAATATAAATACTGATGATTTTTTTAAAAAGAATACAATATGTGTATATAATAATCAAATAAATTTTCTTCAAAGAAAATGTCAGATTTAACATGTTTTTAAAAGAAAAGAACATTTTCACCTCTATTAAACATTATCAAATGTTTTCAATATGAAGAAAACATAGATGGAATAGAATTTAGTTTTGTTTTTGTGTGCATGGTGTGTGAGTTAACCATAAGTACAATTAATACTACAACTACTAATAATAGAACCAAGAAATAAACATTTTGATAATAGTACTATGGTTAAAATAAACGTTGTAATAATACTGTTTAGATTAGTATTAGAAATACAACAAGTAAACATATGAATAAATAATGATAAAACATAGAGGAAAAAAAAAGGACTCTGAAGCCTGGGGCCGTAGTACATATACTTCCTAACTTGGAGATCCTATCTTAACTGTTTGGTAACCATGGTAATTAGAGTTAGGACCTAATTTAGGAAAAAATCCAGGACAGATGAATAGTTCGGAAGTCAATGTTCCTGTCCTAACTTAAGATAGGAAGTTTCCAGCAGGTCAGATAAGGTCAGTCACTAGGTTGCACTCGTCCTTCCTGTTTCTGTCCGACTTACTCCTCTGTCTCTCTGTCTCAAATAACAGCAAATCACAATGTGATCATAACAATAGAGATATAGCAATGAAAAAAAAAGAGTCCACAACAGTGCAGGCATTTTCAAGCTGATGTCACGCTGTCATATATTGAGCCTTTAGCTCTAGCACTTGCACGACACACGTGCTTTCCATAATTTCCACCAGCAGTAAATACACTTAGAGTTCCCCTGAGAGGTCTTTGCTTTCTTTTTATCACATTTAAACATACACATGCAGACATTCCTCTCCAGTCTTTTCCAAAATTTCCCCACTTCAAACATGTGTCACGGATAAGAATTTCATGAGTTGCATAATTATGGAGTTTCTTCTTTTTTTTTGCTGTTAATTGTCTAATGGCGAGCTATTTGCGGCCATGTGATAAATCTTCTGGAGGCAGCTCTGGGCAGTTAGCGTAGTTGTAAGAGGATCTGTGGTCCCTGAGCAAAACCTCTCACTCCCCCTCCACCCCCCCTTACAGCCCCAACCAGTAAAAACACAGCGTAGCGAACAGCATTTACTGTTCTTTATTTATACAATAACATATGTGAATGCTTCAAAAAGCATGTTTGTCAGGTGTAAGAGCCGAGCCGGTATGACTGATCGTCTGTGGATATGACACAAGCTCTCAGATGAAAAGTAAGTGTGTAGATGCAGCTGGTATTCTACAAATCTGAGGAACAGATCACAGCGCTGATGTTTGACACGACAAGTTAGATTGTGATTATTGTTAAAATTCATCTTAAACCAAAGATGAAAATATAAGCATGGATAAAGTAAACATGTTTGTGTAGTTACATGTAGCCTGCCAGTTTCTGTAAGAAATCCCCTCATACCCCAGCAGCAATAAAACCCCTCAGAGGAAGAGAATTTACAACTCTTTATTTACATACAGTAACAAATGAACAATTAATGAACATGTTTCATAACCTTTTTCCATCAGCCCTGTCTAATTGTTCTAACTGTGACATAAGCGTTTGTGTTCACGTACAGTCCTGTTACTCATAGTAAGGAGCTGATTGAGAAAATCGGTTTTCAGGGCCTTAAAATGATTTTTATGTTTAGGTCCATCATTTTTGATCATAACCCTGCGTCCTAGCAAAAGCAAAATATGAATATGATATAATTATGCCAGCTGAATTACATTTTCTGATTTTCATAATGAGGAAATGTTAATTAACGTATCTCACAAGTCTCGAAAATGTTTGAACATATCAGTAAAAGGTTCTCTGACAACTTATTAAACCCGAATGACCGCTGTCATCATCACCAGCAACATCATCACCTCAGTCATCATAACTGCTGTCATCATAACCAGTACCATCATCACCGCTGTCATCATAACCTCTGCCCTCATCAGTGGTATAATCATCACCTCTGTCATCATCACCAGTATCATCATCACCTCTGACATTATCACTGATATAATCATCAACGCTGTCATCATCATCTCTGCCCTCATCAACGGTATCATCATCACCGCTGTCATCATCATCATCACCTCTGTCCTCATCAGCGGTATCATCATCACCTCTGTCATCATCATCACCGCTGTCTTCATCACCTCTGTCATCATCATCACCGCTGTCTTCATCACCTCTGTCATCATCATCACCGCTGTCTTCATCATCATCATCATCACCTCTGTCTTCATCACCTCTGTCATCATCATCACCTCTGTCTTCATCAACGGTATCATCATCACTGCTGTCATCATCATCGCCTCTGCTCTCATCATCAGTATCATGATCACTTCTATCATCATAACATCTGACATTACTGGTATAATCATCAACGCTGTCCTCATCACCAGTATCATCGTCAAATCTGTCCTCATCATCAGTATCATCATCACCTCTGTCATCTTGACCAGTATCATCGTCAGTATTTATTTCCTTAATCAGGATGCCGTACGGTCGAATAGAGTTCTCCACTATCTGTTTCTCTTCCTCGGCAGATGTTCGTTTATGAACACGAATGAGCCAGTGGTCTGATCTTTTGCAAATCTCCCTCTTTTCTGGATTGATACGATTCTGCAGAATCACTTTGTAGCTTTTCCCCGTCGTCTTCGATGTGAAAGTCTTGGCATAGTCCTCTCTCTCGGCAAAGTGTATGTCTGGTGTTGAGTAGATTCCTCTTCCATAGAGGGTTCTATCTCCTGCTTTGTAGTGACTCCAGATGATGCCTTTGACTCCAGCTAAACTTGTTCCATGGTAAGAAACAGGCCATTCTCCAGGTACAGACTGACTCCTCCATCCATTGGTGCCCAGCCAGCTGTCTCCATCTGGATATTTACCTCTGACTTTTAAGGCCATGCGGTACCAGCCTTTTGGGCGCTTATAACGCTCTTCACCTCTCCTGCACTCAGCCGAGTCAGAGAAATCAGTGAAGTCAACGTCAAACTGCGGGTCAAAAAACTCTTCCTCATCGATGAAACGTTCCTTCGCATAACGTTTCCTTTTCCCAGTGATGGTGTTGAGGTGAAAGTCATCAACAGACAAAATATCTGCCGTTCTCTTATATCTCTTCCTGTCATAGGGTTGAAAGCTTTGTCCAAGAATTGAAGATATAACTTCAATTCTCAAATTTGAGTCCAAATTCATGGTTGAGGAGGGTGGAATCAACGTCGCTGTCTTCTGTTCTTGATCACTTCACTTTCACTTTCATTTTGATCAGCAGTTTTCCTAAATTTGATGCGTGCCTCCCCGGGGTGGCGCTAGAGAACTTCAGGGGAGGCGCAGCGTGAGAAAAAATAAACTACAAAAAATAACTGTAAACATCTGGTTAGCTGAAGTCAGCGATGCATGTGGAAAAACTGATCGACTTTTAGTAGCTACAGCGAGAGAGGAGACAGAGTCTGGGGCGAGCAGAAAACGGAGATTCCTTTCTACAGTGCCTCCCCGCATCAACCACCTACAGAATGCGCAGCTCGGACGCATGGCAGCGCAAAACGCCACGCAGGTGTCTTTGCTACTTTCAGACCCACGATGATTAAATAGCAAGTACATTTTCTCTGTGGTCTGAGGTCAGTGGTGCAGCATTTTACCGTTATTTTAATGACGCATTATCAGGAGAGCACTATGCGCCTACCTAGACGCGCGTAAACTGGCTGTTACGCGCAAGCAGAGTGAGATGAAAATGCGCTGCAGGTGTTTGGAAAAGCCAGGTGGAACATCATAAATCAAACCCAAAGAAGGTCGGAGCATCGTTTGTGGCACATTGTGTGTTGCACAACGTTAAGAGACATCCATGACGCACGAGGTTCTGAAGTGTTCAAAAAGGCCTTACAATATTTACATGACATGCATTTACTGTGATTGGAAAAACTCGCCCATTGGCCCAGAATTGATAAAACACTGTAGTAAATAGCATTAACTACTCTTTGTAACTGTATTACATTATACAGAGAGGTGTTTCTATGTTTTAACTTGCCCTCAATGATATAATCTGAGTGAGCAAAATAATAGAAACTTTATTAATTTATCATTACTAGGTAATTGACATGCGGGTTGATGTTGAGCGGCAGGTTGAGGTGGAACTATTTGGACCACAAATCTGATCATATGTTTTGCATTTAGAATCTTTATCTGCAATCTAACTTGTAACTATCATCTTATAATTTAGAATAAAATGGAAATATTCAAGTAATAGTTCTAAGGCACAGTACTAAAGTAAATGTACTAGGGTTGGGTGTCGCCACTGATTTCTCAAATTGATTCTATTCTGATTCACAAGATCATTCGATTCAATATTGATTCAGTTAGAGATATTTCAGCTACGATACCAATTTTGCTTGGATATGAATGAGATTCATTCCTCTAACCTGGTGCATTATTAAAAATATTAATGTTTACATTTCAAATGGACCCCAGTAGTAACAGAGTTACAGCTTCACATATCCACGGGAGATTGTAAAAGATGAAAAGATGGATCTCAGGATTTTATGAATCGATATCAGATTATTCAAATGAAAACCGATTTGAAGGTTGAAGGTTGTTTTTTTTTTTTCAACCCAGCCCTAAAATATTCACTTTGTACTGTACTTTGTTATGTTTGGTCACTGATCCCTGAAACTTTGTTATATATCAACGAGGAGTGAAAGTTTAATAAATCTGACCATGGTTTATGAAAATATAAATACTAAGTGCAGAGGTCATCTAGCACAGGCACAGTGTGTCTTAAATAAACACTGAATAGGAGAGAGAATCCATATGCCAAGTTTTCTAAGATATTAAACCAATGACATAACGTCTTTCTGCGATGGAAAAATACAGTACCAGTACCACTGAAGCTTGAAGACGGTAATATTTACAAATCATTTCCATTTTCTGCTTTAGTTTGTGTTTTTGTCTGTTATAAAGACCTAAAGCATAAACGACGAAACCCTTTGTCCCTGATGACTTTCCCTGTAATTTATAGCTATGCCTACAGTTGGTTTAGTGTTGACTCGTCTTTCTATATTTCTTCTGCCTCTCTAACTTTTTGTTTCTCTCTTTTCTCCCTCTCTCCCTCTCTCAGCCCTGGGGCAGATTATGCTGTATGTAGACGGGATGAACGGCGTCATCGGTCACGCTGAGACAATCCAGTGGCTGTACACTCTTGTTGGCTCAAAGGTATGGTCACACATGCATACTAAATCATCCCCATCCCCATTACAACAAGTACACACACACACACACACACACATACACACTACCCATCCATTGTATGGTGGACATTATTTCATTATTTCTAGCTTCTCTACACTGTAACAGACACACAAACACATCTGCTACTGATTGTATTCTGTGTCCTGCCCTGAGGGTGGTGTCTCTCCTTGGTTTTATGGTATTTTCATTAGTTTTAAAGCTAAAATTCTGCTTTGCCCTAAAACTATCAGTCTTGATTCCAGTGTCTAAAAAAGTCAATGCTTTTATTCTATTTATCTCTAGTTACATGAGTACTCAGTGCCTGTGGGTTGGACCACACCCATATTCAAACTCAGCCTTCATTTTGATCTTTCATGACTGCATCTTGCACAGTTGTGGTGACAAAAATCGGTCCACAGACATTTAACACCTGCCAAAGTACATAAAACTGCCTCTGTGGTAGTTCCAGCTTCACTAGGTGCCTCCAGGAACACATTCTGCCACGATGACACACACACGCGCGCGCGCACACACGCACACACGCTCACACGCACACAACAGTTGAAAACAATACCAGCAACGGTGTCACGTCTGGAAACAAATGCATTCTCTACCCGTCATTAAACTTGTTAGGGAATTACATCCACACTGAGCCGTCTAAACAAAAGCCTGGACTGAAATATACACGGTTTGACAAATGGAACCCACGGTTAGGAACCAAAGACAACATGTTATTCACAGATATACAGATACACACACACACACACACACAAACAAAAAAAAAACAATTAAATAAATGAACAAACTAGAAAATATATCATGATGCTTGCTACAATGATAAAACACTAATAGATTTCCAGAATTGCGGCCACAGGACCAAAACATATCAATCACTTGTATAAGTTTGTTTGTATTTCCTCCCTAGTTCCGTCTGGTGGTGAAAACAACTCTGAAGCTGTTGCTGGTGTTTGTGGAGTACTCTGAGTCTAACGCTCCGCTGCTGATAGAAGCCATCACGTCTGTGGACAACAAGAGAGGTACAGAAGTCTTCACACGCCACAAGCCGATGAGGAACTTCACATTCATTATTATGTTTGTTCATGTAATGTCTTGGTTGAACGCTGAAGTTGATAAACCGTACAGAGAAAGGTGTGTTTGGTTGAGTGGTAACATCACAGCTCGCCTTTCAATTGGTGAACTTATTCGTGGGTGTTATTGGACTGATCTCCAGGCTACAAGCCATGGTCCAATGCTATGGAGATCTTACATGAGAAGGATGGCGTGGACACAGAGCTGCTGGTCTATGCCATGACCCTCATCAATAAGGTATCTATGTCTATAGTTTCTATATACTGAATGTTTATATACTTTTATTAAGCACTAGATACAGGAAGATATACGCCACATGTACTTTAAAACATGCCTTTTCTTTCCTTATTCCTCATTGTAAAGGGGCTTTCCACCGCAGCCAAAAAGAAATATTTTAGAATTTAGCCATCAGAGTATTTAAACCTCAGTTAAACCTTGATCTGCTTTCTTTTTGCAGACACTTGCAGCACTGCCAGACCAAGATTCATTCTATGATTTGGTGGACGGTTTGGAGGAACAGGGCATGGAGACAGTGTCCCAAAGACACCTGGGGCGGAAAGGCACTGATCTGGACTTGGTTGAGCAGCTTAACATCTATGAGGTTTGAGACATACACAAACATTTTCAGTCATAAGATTACAAGGGAAATATTGCAAGTTGATAGTTGCCTTTTGCTAAAGATCAGATTTCAGCTCGTAAGTGTTGCTCACGTCCAATGAATCTGATGCGTTATGACTCTGTACAGTATTTATAGTCCGATTGCTTAATACTAAAATCCTCTGAGGGAAACACCTGCCACCTCTCCCACTTCACACCCACCCCACTTTTCCCTCAGATGACCCTACGGCACGAAGATGGTGACGATGACAGCCAACCTCCACCGATGGGACGCCGGGACCGCAGACGAGCCAGCCTCGGGGGCGGGGACAAAAAGCGTGGCCTGGAGAGGAGGCGGAGCCGCAGAGCTTCACTTGGGCGATCTGGTCACGCCTCCCCCTGCAGCCCTGCGTCCCCACAGAGAGCCGGCTTCCAGCCTTTCAGTGGACAGAGGGCTGAGGACATGAGTGAGAGGTGAGAGAAGGGGAAGATAGAGGAGTATCAGAAGCTAAAGGTTGATTTTTAAAAGTTTCATAACAGCAGAGGGACAAAAGGGGTTGGTTTAAAGACTAAAAGTCATCTCTTTAGAGATGCACATGTGTTAACTCAGCTCCAGACAGAAGTTCTGACTGTCTTATACTACCGCTTTCTGCTCTAGGGCACTGTCAGGTTTCCTTCCATCCATGTAAGTTCAGAGGCCACTCAGAAAGATGGTCAGCTGTTGACCTCTGCGACCCTCTGTCTATGTTTTCCTTCTGCTGCTCCTCACCTACATGCTGTAACAGCTATTAATGTGTCTCATGTCACATAAAGCACTCTGAGTGGGTTTTTTTTTTGTTCTCCAATGATACACTGGTAGAGACTTGTGCTCCACTAAAAGAAATAAAACAGCCACACAAGCCTTCAGGGTTTGCTTGTAATTCTAATACAAGCGTACACATTATTAAACCAGCGCAGGCTTACTTCAGTGCTGTGTGTGTATGCACAAAAAGGGGAATTTGGAGCCATCTGTAGCTGTTTACTTCAGGTAAATCATCCTTTGTTCCTCTTTCTCTTCTGTTATGTGTATCTTCATCCTCTGGCAGTGTGTAACAGAGCAAAACAATTGTGTGAGTGTGTGTAAATGTGTGTATACCGGGACACCTGTTTATCTAAAAAGGAGGATTCGTTTTGCATATGGCTCTTCGAATGACGTGATGGGTGAAAGTTGTTTCATGTCAGAGCCTACATCCTGCTTCATATTATTCATGCACACGCAGAAAAACAAACACAACTTTTATTGGCCGTCCCATTCGTCACACACACATGGCTCTGGTCTTGTGGAACACCACCTGGCAGCGCACGCTGACTCAACTGCAACGGGGCTCCTCTGGTTTCTCTAGACAAAACAGTTCTGGTCTCAAGTCAGTTGTTCAGCCATGGTATATTCTCCTCTTAGCATCCCTTTTCCTCTTCCCTGTCATTATGTTTTGTCTTCATGTGCATGTAAAAGTAGCTAACTGGAGGCATGGAGTGTGTAATGAGAAACATTTATTCACCCCATCTCCTATTTGTTGTTTTTCTATCTGATAGATGTCATGTCCTCGTTTGTTGTCTTTGAGCGTCACTGCAGCTGTAAACATCATTTCCACACGTCAATCTCATCTAACCCTCCACCTTTGTTCCATCTCTTTTATTCTTCAGTAGTGAGGCGATTTCTACTTGCATGCCATTCTTATGTATCATCTCATCTCTCCCTGAATCCTTCCCTTACATTTTCCACTCAACCATCCATTCATCCACCCCCCTGCCTCCACAGAGAGGAGGAGTGTGAGGATGGATTAGAGGAGGAGGAAGAGGAAGAGGAGACTCCAGTGACTGAGTCTGATTCAGATGAGCAAGAGGGGGATGATACAGTGTCTAATCAGACCACCCCCAGGTATTTTGGTGGTGACATGGTGGTAAATAATGTTCTGTGGTTCTTCCTTTGTAACTACGGGCTCTAAATGTGAAACCACAAAGCTTTTAAATGTGTCTTTTGTCACTGTTTTCTGTTGCATATCTGGTTGGTTTGATCTCCTTGTGGCCTATATGTACCTAGCACTTATTACTAACAGTGCCAAACCTGTTTACGGGCTTCTCTTTCATGCTGTCATCATTTATTCTTCTCAATCCATCCCTCTGTTCCTAGCCCGGCTCGACAACTTCCATCCATTGTTCATAGAACAACCCTCCAGTCCATCACCATCACTTCCAGGAAGGAGAACATAAAAGAGGATGAGCAGAGGAATCCGACTGACCCACCTCCAGCATCTACCGCCCACTCCCCCTCGACTCCCGCTTCCTCTCCTCCCATCTCCTCCCCTCTCAGCCCCCCAGCCCAGCCCTCGCTTCTGGCCACCCTTCTGGCCAGGAAGAGGTCTGCTGTCACCGTGCCGGCTACCAAAGAGGTCAGCCCACCATTGCGTGGCAGCTCTCGTCCCTCCCCTGACCGCCTGCCCTACCTGCCCCACTCGCCTTTCCACCTCTTCTCCTACGACCTCGATGAGGAGCCGTCGCCCCCGGCTCCGGTCAAACTCACTGAGGAGTCACCTAAAACGACGTCTCCCAGGTCAGAGGGGCAGCACAATTCAATCTCCCCCGAGAAGCATCGAGAACTTTCCTTGCATCTCTTCGGCGTTGCACTTTTCCTTTTTTCAGTTTTCACTTCTGTTTCTGGCTTTTTTTCCTGGCACCACCTTGGATCTCTCTGCACCACTGTTATTCATCACCTCCCCTTTTCACCACTTCTTTCCAGTCTTTGACTGCACAGCTTCTCACCTTCAATCTGTCGCTTATTATCACCTTCATATCCTTTTTTTTTCTTAGTTCTGCCACTGCATCGATAGTCCTCCACACTTGTTTGCACTTTGTTTCCCATTGCCACTGCACTTCCTTTCTTTTCAAGAACAGCACCAGATGTCTTTTCAAATTCTTCACCTGTATATCTCTGTTTTCTCTCCTTGCTTATTAGCACTATTATTTTTATAGAACATTGCACTTTCTCATCCTTACTTCCTCCATCCACTGTCCTCTTTGATGTTATAAGTTTATAGTATCGTTATGTTAGATTTTTCTCCTGATGGAGAAACCAACACCTCACCTATAAATACAGACAGGTGACGAATTAAAGGAAAAACCTGAGTAAATGAGGAGAAACTTGAAGAAAGCAGATGCTTTCAGACAGAGCATGATGGGTGATAAATGGTTTGTGTATGACCGTGATGTGAATCATGCTTTGCTATGGCCTTCGCGGTCACTAGATCTCAACTCAGCTGAACATGTATGGGAGATTTTGGACAGAGTCTTTGCTATTGAAGCTGTTCTGGAGGCTTGTGGTCGCCCACGACACTTGATATTGATGTTTCCTTTAACTTGTCGCCCATCTGTAGCTTGTTATGATAATCCTACATTCAGATGCTCGGATTTACAGCCCTGTTGCAGCCATGGAGCTCTATTTAATTCACAGGGATAAGATGCCAGTATGCTTAAAATAAATACACACACTTCTAATTTGACACCACCTTTGCTTTATATTAATATTAGTACACATTCAATTTTATACCACTAGCTTAAAAAAGAAAGTTGTTGCCTGCTCACACTTGTTAAATGAGTTAAGGTAAATATATTTTTGTAGTGGGCTGTGAGTGTGCCTGGAATTTCCCAGAAACATATGTAAATAAACACCGCAGCACCTACTAACTAGGGTCACTCTAGTGTTGCACCAGCAGCATTCCTGTTATGTAACAAGGTGTCACATTCGTTTCTGGCCACCGGTTTCTCACTGACCAGTTAGCCGGTGTGGTGTCGGGTAGCTGCACAGCTGGAGATGTTTCTCACTGTCATCTATTTTCTCACCCCTTCTCTTTCTCAGGAATGGAGGTTTCACGTCCTACTCCTCTCTCAGCAGTCCGAGTACACCCACCAGCTGCAGGTGAGAGGACTCTGCGCCAACATGTGCCTGCACACGTTCATGAAAACATCCCTAAAATACACACTCCTGCACTGCCAATGTGCTCACATATGTTCCTGTGTGTTTGCATGAACCAAAACACACACGCTACATGTGTAACAAATGTAGACTGTGTGCAGCCCCGTAGTGCAGTCATGGTGATGACATACCGAAGTGAAAGTGATCTCAGCCTCCTGGTTCCTTAGTTAATAAGCTGCTCCTATTTCCTCCATGGAGAATATAGACATCAAAACATTATTTATGGTGTATTACACACATACATGTATAGAAGCTCTGCATGTGCAAGGAGCAGAAGGAGGAATTTTCATTACTGTGCTGAAGTGCAGTGTTTTACAGAGACGACTGGTGCTTGAGGATTACAGAATTACTCTGACTGCACAGTGGTGTTATCAGACTGTATTTCTTCTCTTGCTCTCTCCTTCAGGCCTGCTCTGGGGGGTCTTCTGTCCTCCTCCTACAGACAACACCAGGAATCTCTGGCAGCTGAGCGAGAGCGCCGCCGTGTGGAGAGAGAGGAGAGACTGCAGAGGATAGAGAGAGAGGAGCGCAACAAGCACAGGTGAGGCATTGCCGGCTTTGTATAGCATTTAACACACTGAACAAATAATACATGTTAATTAGTGAGCTTTAGAGGTGCTAGTAGGCAGATTCACCTTTACCTTTAGACAGAGTCTGACGAGCCATTCCCCCCTGTCTTTATGCTAAGCTAAGCTAACTGGCTACCGATAAAATGTATTTCCAAAAATCTCAAACTTTTCTTTCAAGAGCTGAGGCTGCTGTAAAATGCAAAACAGAAAACTATACAGTGCAGAATACATACAGAAGAATGCAAATACTATTACAGATGTAATAGATTACAATAGAACTAACAATAAAACAGACGATATCAGGGATTAAAGAGAACTCAAATAACAATTCATACATATCAAGGAAAGAATAAGCATGTAAATTAAAGGAAATATTTCCAGAAGAATGAGTGCGTAAAATAAATGCTAAAGTATAAATGAAAATATCTGAATTTAATATATTTTAAAAAGACTAAGGTTAACAGTTTGAAAGAAACATATGAGAAACACCTGAGAATTAGGGGTTGCACCAGTACCTTAACCGCTTGTTCGCGTGATGTGCAAACGTGTTGTATTTACAAAGGCAGGTCTGCAGACGATCATACACGAGTAGGGAATGATTATTATGCTTTAAAATTCTCTGTTTGTGTGTCTCTCTCAGCCGCGACTATGTGGATAAAATGGAAGAGGCCAGGCTTGCGCGGGAGGAGAGGTAAGTGTGTGCGCTAAATCAAAACAACACACGCTCAGAACAGCTGAACCCGAGGGGAATATGTTTGAGCCTGTGGTTTGGGAAGCTCAGTAATGGAGTAATTGTTTTCAGGTTAAAAAGGTGCCCTTTGCTGCCAGAGGCTGGGGGGATACTGAACCGATTTTCTTTGCTCCGTCTGCCTGTTTTCTTCTCTCTTAAGGAGCTGTATTTTAACATTCTGCCAGGGGCCTGATTGCTTTGGCTGCATGTTGTGAGAAAATCAGATTCCAGGATTCATCAAGCTTTTCACACTGAATGCACTCACACACACACAGACACACTTTTTACTCAAGCACATGTACTTTTAAACACACACACACACACACACACACACATACACAAGAAGAAGAAGAAGAATTTTCATGAGGCTAATAAATCGATGTTTGTGTGCAGATGGGAATCATGGGAAGCGAGAGATTTACTAAGGAGGGTATGTGAGGTCACGATCAGATTTATGACTGATCATACTTGATACAGCCTTATATAAACAAGGACTGATGACAGCTGTATAAAAACCAAATCCAATATGCTGATCAACACAATATTTAATAATATGAGGAAATAAAGCTCCTTCTTCTTCCTTTTCCTCTTCTTTTTATTCTCCTCTTTTTTCTCCTTCGGCTTCTTTTTCTTCTTTTGACACTCTACACTGTATGTACTGTGCCAAGTGCTGACTTTCATCCTCAGTTTTAAGCACAGTTGATACAATACAATTGAAAGAAATAAGGAGAGACAGAGAGAAAGAAAGACAAACTAAGAGCAGATGGAGGAAACAAGCACGAGACGGACAGAAAGCCAGAGATGAGCTGCTGAGTGAGCCTGAGGGAGATGTTTCCAAAGGATAATGTTGATGTATTTACAGTGTAATTGGGTGTCATGGTTATCAGAAAAACATGAGTTTTTACCCTGGCTCACCTCCCAGAGGGACGCATCTGCCTGACAGGACACAGCACAGTAACACCTGGACAAAAAGGACTTGCATGAAATATTGCCTTAATGACAAACAACTGACTGTTAATGGTGTATTTACAAGGACTGGACTGAAACAAGATTCCCTAAGTGTGATGCAAATATAAAAGCCTAAGAAATAGCATCTACAACACAGAACACAAAGAAATCATTTCGTCTGAAACTCAGTCTTGATTATCAAATGTTAGCATGCTAACATGCTAAACTAAGATGGTGAACATGGTAAACATTACACCTGCTAAATATGTCAGGATTATAATTGTGAGCAAGTTAGCATGCTGATGCATTTAGCTCAAAATACCACTATGCCTATGTACAACGTCACAGAGCCACTAGCATCGCTGTAAACTCTTGGTATTGTTCTTAAAGAGTCTATGAAAGCTCGGAGAAATTATTTTTACTTAATAAATCATGACAATATATCATCATGATACCTGATATCAATTGTATCACCCCTGATTGACTGTTAGCCAGTGGTGTAAGTATTCAGAACTTTTTCTGTCTTTCCAAAGGTAGAAATGCTGCAATATAAAATGCTCCATTACTTGTAACAATCCTGTATTGAAAATGTCACTTTAGAAAAAGTAAGTCTTATTAGCAAAATGCCCTTGGAGTGTTACGACCATTGTATAGAATTACATATATAGTTTCATTATTACAGATACATTAATCTGTAAGTAGAATTTTACTGGGTTAGTAAATTGAGGTGAAGCTCGTTTAAACTATTAAACTACGTAATTTACAAATTTCATAATCTGATCACATGTTTTGTATTTAAAAGCCTAAGTGGTAACTACAGCTGTCAAATATATGTAATGGGTTAAAAAGTACAATGTTTCCCTAAGAAATGAAGTGGAGAAGAAGTGTGAAGAGAAATCGAAAGACTCAGGCAAAGCAAGTATGTCAAAATATTTCCTTAAGCACAGTACTTGAGTAAATCTAGTTACACAATCTAGTAGACTCCACCACTGCTGTCATCAGAATTTCACACAGTGGCAATATCAGGTTAATAAATTTGCATCGGGCAAGTGTAGCTAATCAGATATTAATTATGAACATGAACTTTACTTAGAGTAGCAAAGTGTAGAGTAGAGTGTAGCAACCTATCACTCAGCATATTTTATTAATCAAGCATGTAAGGGCATAACAACATATTGAAGGTCTTGGTCCAGGTTCAATCACACAATGCACAGTTGGCTCACTCACTCCTATTTCACTCCTGATCACATGCACATGCACACAAACACACACACATATATTAGTATCCAGTTTCTTCAGCCCTCTGAAGTGGCCTGATGCTAATGAACTCTGAACAGAAGCTCCACACATTCATGGTACGGTGGGAAAGAGGAGGGGTTAGAGCAAGAAAGAAAGAAAGAGAGAGAGAGAGAGAGAGAGAGAGGGTTGATTCAGCGCCCTGAAACTCTGTTCTGGCCGGCAGGTTGAATGGTAAAGTTTGGTAGAGGGAGAAAAAGGAGGAAGTCGAGAAAAAGGTAGGAAGGAGGAGAAATGAAAAAGACCAGGGAGGAGACCTGATCGAGGCACATCTTGAACAGGTTTACTCTGATTCACTTCTGATGTTTGGCCTTTCAGCAGCCAAACTAACATTAACTTCTCCCCATCTCTCCCATTCTTCTCTCCTGTCGTTCTCCTCTGCTCTCCACCCTCCTCCCTAACTCCGTCTTCTTCTCTTAACTCCCTCCGGTTGCATATTTGGACTGCCGATGATAGCTAAGCGTTTGGTTAGATAGACGGGGAGAGAGGACCAGGATGGTGAACCCATTGACTACAGGAAATGAGTGATGAATGCATTGAATTCTTTGTGGACAATTAATGTGGCAAAGTAAAGAGTGAGGTGGGCTTATACTGCAGTGTGTTGAGGTTGTACAGCAGCTCAAGAAGAGAAAATATTGAAGAATGGTCTGAGCGTTTTCTAGGTAGACATGAAGTTTTTGATGAATTCAAGTAAATTGGAAAAAATTTGTAACTAGTGGTTTAGTCTAGGACAATTAGGCAAAGAGCAACACAACGCAGCACTGCGGAGAAAGGCAAGACAGAAGGTGCATTGCCTCAGACTCTATTTTTACCTCTTTTGTCCTCTGATACTCCTTCTCCCCCTCCCACAGGTATAAGAACGTGGAGCGTCTGGCAGCGGAGGAGTACGAGAAGGAGCGCGTCCGGGTCTCGAGGACTCGCCCTGACCTCAACCTGACCTTTACACCCTCTGAGGCCTGGCCCTCGTCATCACGCAGCAGCACCCCGTCCTCCTTCGCCTCCCAAGAGGACACAGAGGCTGACCTTGAAGCCGAGACCCCAGCCACCCCTTACACCCCCTCTGAGACTGGTATGACAACTGAGAATACTTAACGTTATTGACTAATAACATAGTACTGGTATGGCTGTTATTAACAAGTCACATAAAACCAACTAAATATCAAATGTAATAACATCTTTCCTCTTTGTTTAGAGGATTTAATTACAATACTGTAGCCAAATGGCATCTATTAGGTTTTGTATGATGATACATAATAGTGTTCAGCATTACTACGGCTACTACTACTGCTAGTCCTGTTAGCACTGTTAGCAATGGGGTATTCTTATGCTATACCACACTGTGGAATAATGTATGGTTTTATAACCAGTAGTGGAGGTAGAAACTAACATTAACTTACTTTACGTACTTTAAAATTGTAATCCTTCAGATTTCAGTCCTGGTCGTTTTGGCGACACTCTGAGCAGCTACTTTTGTTTGAAAAACAGCGGAGCAGCAAGCGGTGTCTGTGTTTACAGAGCAGCCAAACAAACACACGCTTTAATAAAGAAGAAAGTCAGTAATTGGAACCACAATCTGATTTCACGCTGCACACACTGTGAGTAGTTTTAGTAGCCAGTAATAGACAACAGCAGGGGCACAGAAACTGGAGTTGGATACCTTGCTGTGGGGTTGGAAGTACACAGCGCGCTGCCTGCAACTCTTCATCTAGTAGCTCATATTTAAAACTGATCTGCTGTCAGAAAAATACCAAAAATGACCACATCTTGTAATGTAGATGCATTTTTGATATATGACTACTGTCAGAGCTAATGCTGGATTACATGCATGATTTGTTTTCCTGTGAATCCCTTGTGTGCATGAAGGGAATCCAACATGGGAATGGACAATTAAATTGAAAATGACTATATAGAGAGAGGTAAATACTGAATATATGTACGTGCCGAAAATATGTTGACCATAAATAGCTTCCAATACAGGGTTTGTATCTGTGTGTTAAAGGTCTCCTAGTTCAGAGCACTTGTATGACTTCGGTTGATACTTTGTGGAGTTATAATTAATACCAGAAGGTCACTAGTTCAATTCCCATCAGTGCGCCCCAAAGCAATCATTCTTAACCTTAAATTGTTTCAGTTTGCAGCTTGCTGTTTAAATTAACATGTAGGCGTGAGCGAAAGAGGGAGAGGGGAGACAGATTGTGGAAAATAGTGCGGGTGAGGAGGGGACACCATCAGTGGGGTAGAAAAGAGAAAAAACACAGAGAGAGGATATGGGTGAAAGGGTCAAATGGGTTTTTGAAAGAGCTTTTTGAAAGTGTGATGCCAAAACATCTTGTGTAAGAAAACAGCCTTGTGTCGGATTGCATGCGCAGCCACGAGCTGAGGTACTGTAGGTCAAACAGGCGAGTGTATGAGGCCTCAGAGTGTCGTGTTATTCTAACCCCGCCCGCATCACTGCATGGACTGTACTGTTGAGTTACGTGTGTGCGCCATATACATGAGTGTGTTTTGACGTAAACAGGAACTTAATTCTTCATTTCCTGTTCATATCCTGGTGCTACGACAACCCGGCTTTGTTAACCCGCCATATTGTTTACATTAGTGTATGGGCGTGTGTTCTTGTTTTTCTTGTTAGTGTGTGTGTGTGTGTGTGTGTATAAATGTGTATTGATACAAGAGTGTCCTATGTGCAGCCTAAACAGAGCCACCTTTAAAAATCAAAGACAGCCATGTCACATATTTCAAACAGTATTTCATTGCAGATAAGCCTTTCATCTCACAGTATCTTTCTGTGTGAAGGATTGTCACTGTGCAGGTCTAATCAGTTTGAGAGATCAAAACCGTAAAACAGAATCTTAGAGAATAAAGTAACGCTGACTTTTTATGACAGGAGAGGCTGATGACTCCAGTGCCAGTGTAGAAACAGAGGAGAAAGAGACAGAAGCTACCGCTGAAGAGGAGGAAGAACAGAAGGAAGAGGAAGAGGTAGAAGTGGAAGTGCATGAGGAAACAACCGCGGAAAAGGAGGTAGAAGTCGAGGAGCGCGCGCAGGAACCGGAGAAAGAAAGAGAGGAGCCGGAGGAGGAGGACAGCGGCATCCTGAGCGACAAGGAACGACAGAATGAGGAAGTAAACGAGAAGGACAACTGCTCGGCCTCCAGCATCTCCTCTGCCAGCAGCACTCTGGAGAGAGAGGAGAGGGGGAGCGCTGAGAATGGTGGGTAGTTTTGTAATTGATTTCAATTTCATTCATTCACAGTTTTTTTGAAACAAGGGGATGATCGGCTGTATTATGGCCTGTTGCCCTGGAAACAAGTCAAATGACTGAGGATGCAGGGATGATCTGACTTTTTCTCTGTCTATACAACAGAGTCCTGATCTGATACCAGCGCACTGTTTTCCTCCAAATTTAAAATCTGCTAACCTCACTGTGTGGAACCTGCTGCGATCATTTTTTTATGAAAGGTGCCATAGGGCCAGGGATTGCTGCGACTGAATGAATGTAGCTGATATCTAAAACAATGAATTTTTTAATGACACTGACTAAGAAACTGTTTGTAATGTTCGTCATTCACATCTGTCTGATACCTGACTCCTGGTCAGCGTCGGTGCTGATACAGATCAAATGGATCTCATCACTGCATCCTGTATTTTCAGTTAATGGTGATTTCTTAGTAGTGATACTATTTCAGATGAGGTTGTAATGCAGTGTGTAGAGAGAATGAGGCAAAGCCCTTACATTACTTTTCAAGTGGAAATAAACTGTTTTGTTTGCTTCCTCCTCATGTAATATACTTTAGAATAAGGCTTCCTCTACAGTGGTAATGTTTTTACATCCTTTTTCTCCTTTTAACCTCGTCACTCTCTTTCTCAGGCTTCAAGGAGGCAGAGGTGAACGAGCCGTGCAGCAAACTCCTCAACAGCAAACTCTTCATGCTGGACATGCTGTACTCCCAGAACAAGAAGCCCAGTGATGAGGAGGAGGAAGAGGAGGATGCAGAGAAGGAGAAAGAAAGAGAAGAGGGGGAGGACAAAGAAACAAAGGAGGATGCTGAGGGGCAGCTGGGTGATGATCAGGAGAGCGACAACAGGGCTGACAAATCAGAGCTACATGGGAGCATCCGCCCGTTCGCTGAACGATTTGGAAACTTGATCAAGGACCTCACTTCACCCCACCCTCACCTGGAGGGCCCAGCCAACGAGCCTCCTCCACCACCACCCAAGAAGGAATCAGACACGATCTGGGACCAGCTCCTGGCCAGCCCTCGAGAGCTGCGCATCGGGGACATCAACTTCACTGACCTGACAGAGGATGACGACAAGGACATTCTGGACACTGTTTTGATGGGAGGATGCGGCGACCTCCCGCCCCCGCCTCCTCCACCACCCTGCTTCCCTCCACCTCCACCCATGCTAGGCAGCTGCCCCCCACCGCCTCCCTTGATTGGGATTATGAGGCCTCCACCTCCTCCTTCCTTTAGTTCTCCAATTCCAGTGCCTCCTCCTCCAGAGCCGCCTCTATTCAACAAGAAGAAGAAGACAATCAGGCTCTTCTGGAGCGAGGTGAGTCAAGACACAGAGAGCATCTTCATTAACCAGGTGCAGCTAAGGCTTTTCAGAAAAATGAAAAAATTGCATCACTGTTTTAATTCAGTTTTACACATGAACTTATCCAAGATGAAACATTTTCTTTATGTTCTTAATGGCAGTAAATGATTTCTCTTTCACTACGCCTAGAGGAAGTAGGTCCTGTTACTGTTTTAGGTTTGACCAATATTGTTGGTCGAACAGAAGATGCTACAGATCAAGATGAAGAGTTCATTAAAAACTGCATGTTTCCATCAGCCAGTTAAGATTAAGGAGTCATCAAAAACAATGAGTCACAGGACATGTTCCTGTTGCTGCTATTATTTGTGGTTATTTGTCTCTCATTTACCTGTTTTATTGTAGGAAATGGGAGTCTAACACATGTCTCCACTTAATGTAGTCCATTCTTGTTGTGTTCATGATCAGGTGCGTCCGACAGACTCTCAGTACAGGGACTACAAGCGGAGTGGAGACTCATTCTGGTCCAAACTGGAATCAGTAAAGTTGGACACGGCTAAACTGGAACACCTGTTTGAGTCAAAGTCGAAGGAAATACCAGTTACAAAGGTAAACAAGCAGTGCCTGGTCAGGGGTTAGAAAGGTGTGGGACGCTGGTTGATAGTCAACTTATCAATGCTGTTGAATCTAATCTGTACAATGTTGGATCTATGATTAAACTAACTCAATTATTGAACATGGTCCACTACAACGAAATCAGGAAATTTATCAGGGAAATCAACTAACAACAAGTCATTTGCATGGTCATGTGTTAGAGTCACTGAGCAACATCATCATCAATTCCAAATTATATCAGCTCCTCATAAAAATTGCACAACTTCATCAGGAGTCACGTCCTTTCTATTTGGCTCTCAGGACAGTTCATGTAGTGTCTTGGCTGCTGCTTTATCACAGACTCCTCCTTGTTGCCAGCCACACAGTCTGCAGGCTTGGTTGTCCATTATCTCCCATACTCGAAAGCTGATGTTTTAAAGGTTAAGCGAGGTCATGTGTGTTCTGATCGTGATCAAACGGGGGAGCGTTGAATCCTATGTAATTCTCACGAAGCCTTTGAATAAGAAAAGTATGGTCTACTAAGACAGGGGAGCTGAAGCCAGGCACCTCACACTTTGAACTCCTGAGCCATTGCTTCAATCCACAACTCTCGTTAGAGCCAAAACCAGTTAGTAACTCACTTCTGGTCCACACGTAATGTGACAGTGTGGTGGTGGTCTCCAGCAACAGTATCAAGATGGAAACGGCTCAAGCAAAGCTGTCAGTTAATGAGAGAATTCAAGTTTTAAAAGGACCTTCAGAAACCAAAGCCTTCATAGGTCAGAGAGAACTTCACTTTTTTTGGTTTTATGCTCTTCTTACCGTAAGATGTGAAAGATGAGAGATTGAAAAGCTCAAACCAATTCTGCATGTTTTTCTTTTTTACCCACAGTATGTGGTTGGTATCATGTGTTTTTCGTAGTTGTACAACCTCAAGTCTTCACAAATTTCTAAACTTTAAATTCTTTGCTGGTCTGACTAGTTAATGTGCCCAACATTAACAGCAACATTAATCAGCTTTCCACATTATAATAAAAGAAAAAGACAAACAAAAGTAGAATTTTCAAATAAATCTTGAATTGAATTTCATCCTTTACATAAAATACCATCAACAACAAGTGTATTTCTATAAACAATTGTTATTGTCATCAATAAAAGTATACTTTTTTTTAACTTTAACAACCTGTGGGAAATGAGCCAGAAGTTAGTTAAAAGTTAGGTTAGTCTTATGTATCGTAATAGCATGAACTGTAACATGAAGCAGCTCATTAGTGGCAGAGTTGTGCTGTAACGTAAGTCTACCAGTCTCCATATTGTGCTTATAAAATTTCCCAGAGGCAGTAACCAAGCCTTAGCACCTACTCTGTTATACTTTAATGTGGTGACATACTTCCTTCCTATAATAACTTATAATAGCCTCAAGTGCTTGTGAGGTCATTTCTACACATATAGTCACAATGTGTCTGGGGACTAATCCAAACAATACAGTACAGAGCTAACCTGTCACGGTATTTCCTGCTGCCACTAACCATGTGGTTCCTGCTGTCAGTCAGTGTAACCTGAGTGATGATCCCTCTAATCCTTACAAGCCCATAAAACAGACCACAGGGAGAGAGAGGGGGAGACCCAGCATTGACCCTCCCTGTATTTTTGTGTCCTAGAAAACAGCAGCAGACGGTAAGCGCCAGGAGATCATCGTGTTGGACTCCAAGAGGAGCAATGCCATCAACATCGGTCTGACGGTGCTGCCTCCCCCTCGCACTATCAAGACGGCCATCCTTAACTTTGATGAGTATGCGCTCAACAAAGAGGGCATAGAGGTGAGAGATAGAGGTGACGGTGAAAAGGAAGCAAGTGATGATTGAAACTCATCCATGACACCTATCACCCATATCTTCTCTTATCCGTTGTCTTCAGAAAATCCTGACCATGATCCCCACAGAGGAGGAGAAGCAGAAGATCCAGGAGGCTCAGCTGGCCAACCCCGACGTCCCGCTGGGCTCAGCAGAGCAGTTCCTCCTCACTCTATCCTCCATCAGCGAGCTCTCTGCCAGACTCCAGCTCTGGGCCTTCAAGATGGACTATGAGGCCACAGAGAAGGTCAGTTTAAACACAGGACAGTACTTTCACAGTGAAAACTGTTATTTTCTTAAGATAAAACTATACGAATTTGAAGAAAAATGATTGATACTTCATAAGAATGTCGACGTGGGGAGGCCAAACCGAAGCCATTACCAAATGCACATTTAAAATCATACAGTCATACATAATAAGTGAATGTGGTTTTATTAAAGCAGAAACAGACATAGCTAAATGAACTTTGAACCATGAAGTGTTGAGTAAATGTGCACAGCACGTGTGCGTTTGTGTGTCTCATGCCCATGTCAGTAAGTATCAACATCCATTTTAGTACAAACAACATCCGCAAAACAGAGACATAGTTACATAACAACATCATAACAAAATATGCAGGCTTATTAGCAGCACCTCGTCCTCTTCTTCTGGCACACCATGTTTTACTTTAGCAAAGAATGCATCCAGGAGAAGAAGTTCAAAGTCGAAACCCGGAGAATGAAAAACATGCCGCCCCTCCGTTGCTGTCCTGTAAATTTTACAGCTTTCCGCAGGATGCAGTTGTCTTTAATCTCTCCATGAAAGGCATGATGCCCGACCGCACATTCGGCAGAGCTGCGTTCCCGACTCGACTCTGTGGGACGGTTTGGTCGAGGGAGGCTTAATGGAGGGCAGCATACCGTGCAGGCACACAAACACAGGCTCGCAAGAAAACAAAGGGCTCATGTCGTCAGAAGCACGTTTGATATCGAAGGCTGACCGAGGCTGCAACCTTTAAACGACCTCTCATGACCTAAAACAAAAGCAGATGATTTGTGGCAGGAGAGGAGGTGCACCTGTTTACTCACCGCTTATATAACTGTAGACTAATGAAACACATGTTTTTGGGAGTCTTAATTGACTCGGCTAATGGTGTGTGTGTATGTGTGTGTCTTCCTCCTCCCAGGAAGTGGCAGAGCCGCTGCAGGATCTGAAGGAGGGTATGGAGCAGCTGGAGAAGAACAAAACTCTACGCTACATCCTCTCCACGCTGCTCTCAATGGGAAACTTCCTCAATGGCACAAATGTGAGTCATGACCATTACAGGTTCACATCATCTGACTGAGTCACAATGACGAGCTTCCTTTGTTGTCTCTCTACTGCAGTTATTATAGAGATTGTGAGAGATTTTAATGGAGTGTGAATGAGTCAAGTCTACCATTCGTAGATTAAAAATTTCATCACATATCGGCAACTATAATTTATTGAGATCAGACGTTGCTTTCACATCATTTTCGAAACAGCTGTATCCAAGGCTCTCAGGCTGTCACATAGGGCTATAGAGAAGGAGGCACAGAAGTAACATTTGATTTTTTCTTTTCATAAATAACTGTTGTGTCCATGTGTCCAGGCTAAAGGCTTCGAGTTGACGTACCTGGAGAAGGTTCCAGAGGTGAAGGACACGGTGCATAAACAGTCTCTGCTGCATCACGCCTGCTCTGCGGTGGTGGAGAACTTCCCTCAGAGCACCGACCTCTACTCCGAGATCGGAGCCATCACACGTTCTGCAAAGGTCCGCTCCACACTCATTCGAATCCCCTCACTCTAAAACATGTTTAAGCTGGTCCAACAGCTTGGTCCAAATGATTGATCGATTATCAGATAGTTGCTGAATAATTTTTTGACCAGCTAATTGATTAATTGATTAATAATTGCAGCTCTAGATATTATTTCTATTAAAGGGAATTAATTTTGGTAACATTTACAAAGCAACAGTCAGAGCTCAACCACATAGAGAAAACTGTCCGTACAATTTGACATGCCGTAGTTTGCGCTGTTGTTCGATTGCCAAGAACAATATATGTTAAAATATGGAAAAAGCATTTGTTTTACAGTAATAGATTGACATTTAATGTTCACAGTTTTCATAAAATACACTTTTCTATGTATTACACTGATATTGCATATAAATAAACATTGAAAGTTAAACGCATGCTGTCCACCAGAGTGGACGTCGTGAAAAAATACATGTAAACTAAAAAATAAAAATCTAATATATATAAGTATTTTTTCAAAATATTTTCTTCGTGTCTGATAAAGTATAAAACCACAGAGTGAAAAATCTTGACTTGGGCTTTCATAACTCATGCATGAAAGGGTTAAAAGTGTCCAGGGGTAGGGACTGAAGTGGAGACTAATCTTCACTGTGGTTAAGACTGTTTTCATTACTATCAGAGGAAACATCCATTATTTAACAAGTATTAAAGACACAGCAAGTTTCCACTATATTTGTTTTCTCAAAAACTACAAAAAAGAAGGATCTTTGGAGGGATTTGACTCCCAAACAGTGCATGCTGGGAAGTCAGCTAAAATGCTCATGCTTCTTTACAAACAACTGAATAATCAGTGATACATTCATTCAATCTTCATAAGTCAAAACACTTCAATTCAAAGTTGAATTAACATGAAATTTAACAAGTTCAGGTCGGCTGAATAAGAGGACTTCCTACATATTTTTGATGCAAGTTGATTAAAGAACTTCTTGATTTGCTTCATTAGGTGGATTTCGACCAGCTGCAGGAAAACCTGTGTCAGATGGAGCGCCGCTGCAAAGCCTCATGGGACCACCTGAAGGTTATCGCCAAGCATGAGATGAAGCCCCAGCTGAAGCAGAAGATGTCTGACTTCCTCAAAGACTGCGCCGAAAGGATCATCATCCTCAAGATCGTTCACCGCAGGATCATCAACAGGTAGCTCCTCTCACAACTATTTTGTCCTTTTTTTTTGTTTTGTTTGTTTGCTTGATTATATTATTTTACAATGCAATGTTCATTATTGTGAAGAAAAGCATTTTCTTCTTTCACCCAGGTTCCATTCATTCCTGCTGTTCCTCGGTCACCCGGCCTACAGTGTGAGGGAGATCAGCGTCCACAGGTTCAGTAAGATCCTCAGCGAGTTTGCGCTGGAGTACCGGACCACCAGAGACCGCGTGCTGCAGCAGAAACAGAAAAGGGCCGACCACCGCGAGCGCAACAAGACCCGAGGAAAGATGATCATGGACGTCAACGCTCCTGTGAGTATCACACAGACAGAATCCCTGACACAGAGACACACTCCGACTTTCACCTCTGTTTTCTAGCTCTTCTTTTTCCAAATCTAGTGCTTCCTTCGTTATCCTTGATCTGTTCCTTAACTTTCACTGTTTCTTTCTCCTATAGTCTGATGATGAAGAGGAGAGTGAGGTATCAACATGTGTGCTGCCCTTCTGCATGTCTGTGTGTGTGTGTGTGTATGTGTGTGTATGTTTGTGTGTGTGTGTGTGTGCATGAAACCACTAACTGTAACTACCTCAAAGTTTCCTTTTCACTAAACGAGTGGATCAGTCAGTAAAATACAGTAGGGACTGTAATCTTTACAGGTTGGATGTTTTCCTTGATGTTTCAGGTTTGGCATGGTTAAAGCCCAAAGTGCTTAAAATGCAAGCCGAAATCTTATCCTGTCACATCCTCTTTCTCCCCAGCAGTGTGGTCGACGTGGCTCCAGTAGCAACAGCAGCGCCCCTAGTGGTAGCCAGGAGAGCGAGCAGCCTCAGGGCCTGGGCCATGCTGAGGATGCTGCAGAGCACGAGCACATGAAGGCGGTGCTGAGAACCAGCCTCAGCGGCGGAGACAAGGAGAGCAGCGGGGTGCCGGGGCTTCGGACACGGACCAGATCACGGCCTGGACGAGGAGGTGAGGGTGACAGGAAGTTCCTCACAGGGTCTCACAGATAAATACGCAGCAAAAGTCACGGCTCTTTAAAGGGTTTTTTTCCTCGTGCTGAAGCATTTTTCACGCTGCTCCAATTGTTCAGGTCGCACTATGCAAGCACGGACACCACCTGTAGAGGACACTCAGATCTGTGGAGACGACGCCGCAGACGAGATCATGGAGCGCATCGTGAGGTCGGCCACTCAGGGTCCAGGAACCAGAGCTCAGCCAAGAGAGAGGAGGAGGTCCAGGGCAAACCGCAAGTCATGTACGACCTGAAAGCTGAAATCCCAAATACATGCTTAGTAAACTCTGAGAAAATAACCCCTGATGATGTCATCGGGCCGCTTTTAAAGAAAAGCCTGCATTAGGATTAGAATCCATTTGAAAAAAGTGGGCATTTATGAGGCAGGAAGGGTCTAATGAAACACGCAATATTGGTTGCATTGTAGGAAATGTATGATCCAGCGTTTCTGAAGCTTGACCCATACTAGGAACTAAAAGTCAGGTTGTCTTGGCCTCTGCTGGATAAATTTTGACCATTTTCTTAATACATTTAAATTAAAGCACAACACAAGCACAGAGTAGACATAAAATCAGACTTTAAAATCAGAGAGTAAATGTTTAAATGTTTTAAAGTCACATTTTGTATTGAATCATTTCCTGTTATAAAAATCTCTATATATATATATATATATATATATACTGTATAAAACAGTTACAGTATGTTGATTTCTTTCTACACTAACTAAAACTTAAACAGTAGTATATAGTACATGTTGTATATATTTAGTATGTAGTATGGCATTGGGATACAGCACATAACCATATCTCTCCTCTTCTCTCCTCTCCTCTCCTCTCTTCTCCTCTCCTCTCCTCTCCTCGCAGTGAGGCGGACTCTGAAGAACGGTCTGACACCAGAAGAAGCTCTTGCTTTGGGACTAACTGATTCTCCAGACACACAAATGTGATCCTCTGCCTCCTGTCTCTGTCCTCTTTGCTGTGGAAACGCAGCGGCAAACATCAATGCGACGCCTCCGTCAGCTGCCTGCCTTCGTCACACTCGTTGTTGTACTCCAGCAGTTACATGCCCCTTTAGGTTTTTGTCAGCTGCTTATCTTGCCTGATGTGTCTGAGTGATGAAACTGCAGCCACCATAGTGTTTTTAATGCAGCAGAGAAAAAAAAATCCTCCAGAAGAAAAAGTGGAAGTGAAGATAGAGAATAATGTGTTCAACCTGGCAAGAAGGAAAAGAGAATTTGATTTCAGTGATTCTGCCTCTACACTGAGCTGAAACGTTTTTTTATTTATATAAACATATTTTAAACATTGCGTTAGTTCAAAGGGATAATTTTTGCTTTTAACTTTCTGCAGCTGTGACTTCACCATGTTTCATTTATTTAAGCTGTGAATTTTGGTTGTAAAGACGAACGGGCTGAAGAGGAAGCTTGATTTGTTCTCTTATCCGGTTTCAAAAAAATCCAGAAAAAACAAAGAGGCTTAATGAGAATCATGTTTTGTTTCTGCAGCTGCACGTTTGACAAGTGGCGAGTGTGGCTGTGGATCAGTGGGAATGTGAAAGGTTTTGATTTGTGCCTTTCATTTAAAAGGGACATTGCTGTACCTTTTCGCCATCTCTTGCTATTGCTTTATTCACCTCCTACTTGTCAGATGACTCACAAATTCACAGGTGTAGTTATATCACGGGTGAGTGTTGACTACAATTACCTTTTTTATTTTGACAGAACTGTTCTCAATATTTATTTGCTAAGCTCAGACATCTTGCACCTTACTCAGCGTTAATAGTCTGTTATGCTGAAATGAATGACTGATTCAAAACACAGAAAAAGGAAGTTTTATCTCAGAGGAACTGTTTGTAAAGTGTAAAAAGACAAAAAGATAAGGACTTTTTTTAAATTTTAATCTATTTGAAGGACATGCAGAGAATCCTGCAGAAAAATGTGTAAATGCCCTCGTCAGCTGCCAGATACAGCGTGCATGTTTAGTGCAGTTCATGTTCTGTATTATTTTTGTAATTTTCTGTAGAAACTTGTATTATAGTCTGAGAAAGAGGCTATTCTGTGAATTGTAATTAAAGATGAAAAAAATGAAAGATATGGTCAGAGCTGAAATATGTGTTTTTAAAATGTTGCTCCCTGCAGAGAGAGGGAGAGAGAGAGAGAGGGGAGCAACATTTGGACATTTGCTTTGAACTTTGTGGTCATGTTGTACTTTGTATGAACTTGAAACAGGTCGTGGAGCAGTCTCAGCTGAAGTGTGCGCTCCTCTCACAGTCCAGCAAAAACTGGGAAACATCACTGCATAAATATCATGTAGTGAGCTGAACATAAAAACCATGGTTACAGACACTTCCACTTGAAATGCTGTGTATACACATTCTGCAATAAAAAGACAAAACCATTGAGTGAAAAAGTGGATGTGCATGTCATTCTTCTTCTCTGCTTTCACTTCTGAGCCCTTGAATACACAGCAGACCATGTCGGTGACCAACCTTTGGATCAATGAGCTGCCATAGACTGCTGCTGTGTGTGTGTGTGTGTCAGAGACAAAGGAGAGCACAAATCTCAGGAAGTGCTGGAGGTCAACCGGAGAGGACAGGTAGGTGTAGCATGCACACGATGATCATGAAGAACAAAGCACTGGCATATTCTGGTTCATGGTTAGATGAGTTTTTCTTGCACACACACACACACACACATTAATTCAAAGTTTATGTTCCAGTTGAATCTAACTGCCTCTGGGTAGAAGATGAATTCCCTTTAGCCAATATTAAACTTCATTTTTTTCTTATTTGTCCTATGAATACTATGTGTCTGTAAAAAGTAACAGTAAAATGTGACCATGCTGCAGATGACTTCTTATGCTCACATAATGTTATTTTATTCTTCCAGCTCCCTGCCTTCAAATATGGAGACAACACACTGAATGAGTCCACTGCCGCATGTTTATACTTGGAGGTAAAGTGTTGAAACTAAATATGAAACATGCCGAATATTGCACAGTTTATTACATAGGCCTAATCTTTATTTTTTCTATGTCTTTGCTGGTATAGAATCAGATTAAGTCCCAGGGCAACAAGCTGATGCCTGACAGTCCTGCAGGACAAGCACTGATGTACCAACGCATGATGGAGGGTCTTGCCCTCACTGATAAACTCAGTAAGATACACACACACTGCTGCTCCAGGCTGCTTTGTTTCTCAGTTACATGTTAACCTTGTGTCCTTTCTTAAAGCTGTCTGTTGGACATTACCCCAAACTGGCCAGATATTACAGCCTGTTGAAGGACAGAGCCAGCATTAAAGCCAGCTGACCACTATACAGGCTGGCCAGTATAGTATAATAGTAAAGTTGATTTTTAAAAAAAAAGATTATTCAAAAAACAAGTCGTGTGTTCAATTTTTGATTTATAACATGAGGTGAAACTATGATGAAGGTGCATTATTTTAAAAGGCAGTAAGTTGTAGTCTCTTCTCCAAGCCAGTAGGTGGCAATGTGAGCTGGGATTGCAGCTTGAGCTCCACATGAACTGAGGGAAGAACAATAACAAATCACTCCTCTCCTGTGCGCAGTGACTGATAGAAGCTCCGAGCTTCAGGCTGTGAAATCTGAAATTATGGCCCAGGACATGACTCTGCTGTGGGGCTCCGGCTCTCCTCCCTGCTGGAGGGTGATGATCGCCCTGGAGGAGAAGAACCTGCAGGGCTACAACCACAAACTGCTCTCCTTTGAGAAAATGGAGCACAAGTCCCAAGAAGTGTTAGATATAAATCCCAGGGGACAGGTAGGAGCAACCTGCAGAAAACCCCATCATAACCACTAACCAGTAGACTAACTAAAATAGACTAGTGAGTGTGAATAGTGCGTAATAACGTCAAACACTTTCCTTAATAGAAGGAACAGCCGCTGCCGCTTTACATTAACCCCTATATACTATAGTTCTAAGTAACGCCAAAGTCCATTCACAATTTTAAGCATTTAATATCTCCATCTTACTGGCAAAAACACACCTGTTGAAGCTTAAAATAAGTCCTCTAACAAGTCAAAGAGAAGGAGTTTTTAATTTGGCTGATACTCGGTTTATCAAGCACGTCTTTTTTCAGAAGTATATGACCTTATGAATTTCTGTGACCCAGTTAAGCGCCTTTCACACAAACGCACCACAGAGGGCGGTAACGACCAATGTAAGCAATTAACTTTTTAAAGAATTTTTACAGTAGTTGTGTTTTCAGCGTGCCGAATTTATCATGAGGCATTACATGTCACCCTACAGTCTCAATTCGTGATTTAGCAGGCATGTAGTTTATCAGTAAGCAAGATAAAAAAATTAATTGACTGGATTTTGAATGTAGTTTGGTGTATACGAGTCAATGCGTTCTATCTATATTTAAGCAATATCACGCGGCCGAGTACCCATGACCGAATCACAGCCGTGCTGATATCCAGTACATCACTCCCTCTCGTGTGATATTACTTTTATACAACAGTTCTACGAGCGTAATGTTAGTTAAATAAGCAACAACAGTTTAAGGTTTGTTTGTATATATCATCATTTATTTGGAAAACAGTTACGCAACTGGACTGATACTGGACTATTGCTAAGCAACAAAAAGGCTAAACAATTTCCTGACCTGCACAGTAGCTTGCTAATTTGTCCACACGTTGCCTCGGGTGTTCGCTGAAGTATGGCTTCTTCCCTCCATCCTCTTCTGACGACTCTTATACATAATTCAATTCAAATGTTATTTCTGGAATATATTAATCTTTGCAAAGTTTGTTACAATCTAGGATAGATAACGGACGTTAAAATTAACGCTGATTAATGGTTAATAGAACACCTGTGAAGCGGAGTGATACATGTTGTTACTCTGTCAGCAGCACTCATTCAATGCCTCTCGTCCAATGAAATTACTTGGTCGGAACTAATTGTATAAACGAGGATATGTGATATGATGTGGCAGCTCAAGCAAACGAGGGCATTACCATTACTGTGCAGAAAATATTCGCACAGTCAGATCCTCAGATAACACCACACATGACGTAATTCTCCATACAGATGGCTAAACATGTTGTGTTAAAAGCACTTGGTAGGTCCCCAACACTACCAGCACAGCATGTTGTCTTAATTAGCTCCCAGTAGCATTAGCATTAACACTGGATTTAACTAACACAGAAACTCTTAATAACAGGAAACCATTAAACAGCCTGTCTTCTTGTAACCTGTTTGTTTTTGAAGCTTCCCTCTTTCAAACATGGAGACGTCGCTGTGAATGAATCCTATGCAGCCTGTTTCTACCTGGAGGTGAGTGAGCCACTCCGTCAACTAAAGAAATATCACTCCAGCAATTATACCAACACTAAATTAAGCATTATGAAGTGTGATATGTTTAAATGTGTGTGTCTTTCCTCTCCTTGTGTCAGAGTCAGTTTAAGTCCCAGGGAAACAAACTGATCCCAGACAGCCCAGCAGAACAAGCACTGATGTACCAGCGCATGTTTGAGGGTCTCACATTCTACGAAAAACTCAGTAAGACAAGCAAACAAGATCCCTTAAGTAGTCAGGTGACTGCAGTGTAATCACAAGCTGCAACACAAACCAAATCTGACTTCTTAGATCACATTATTTTGTCATCAGGAATTATTCTTTTGACCTGTTATGTTTCATCCTGTCATCAATAAATACTGGGTATGTTCTATTAATTTCAAACAGCAATGGTAGCCACACAAAACAGTAAAAAAGGGGGAAATCTGTGGGTAGATTTCAAAATATGCTCGGCCGAAAGCCAGTCGGGACATATTTGAAGTGATCTGCATGAAGACAAGTTGAAAGTTCCTAAATAGAAAGAGTCAGCTGGCTACAAAAAACAAGACTGCCCAAACTTTTGCTGTGTATTTGTCTGTGCATAGAGCTTCATTGTTGTCCAGGACTATTAAAAACACACCAGTGAGCTGCAATGTTTCACTAGGTGCTCCTTTATTATGATAACTGTGGGCACTGTAGTTTATTTTGAGTCAATCCCACAGTGTATGTGGGATTGACTCAAAATAAGTAAACACTGTCCTGCTACTATAAATACTAAAGCACCAAATTTGAATAAATCAGCTGCTTGAAGTAGTTCCAAACAAAAGTACTATTTAGTCCTATTTGAGGAATATTTGCTAAGAACTAAAATGCTTAATGAGTCATTTAGGGTTTAAAAAAATAAATAAATAAATAATATAATCACCAAAGCTGCTGTCTGTTCAATATGTTAATGTGAGTGTTTTTCTTTTTGATTTTTTTTTTTTTAAGATGCTGTTATCTACTATAACTGGTTCATCCCCGAGGGAGAGAGGCATGACTCAGCTCTTCAGAGGAACAAGGAATCTCTGGCCACTGAACTCAAACTGTGGGAGGGTTACCTGCAGAAGGTAGTGTGTGTACAGTACACACACACACACACACACACAAACTCAGAATGCACTGACACATTCAAACATGCTGTATTTGTCACCTCTTTCTTTTCAGCTGGGCTCAGGCGCTCACCTGGCAGGACCATCCTTCTCACTGGCGGATGTGACCGTTTTTCCAACTGTTGCTACTCTTTTCAGATTTGGGTGAGTGGGAAATGACTGGTGTACTGTCCTGAAGTCACTCTGACAAGTGCACATATGGCTTGAAAATAAAGTGTCTCCTGCCTTTCTGTTTCGCAGGTTATCTGCAGAGTGTTACCCTCATCTGGGAGAGTATTACACTCTGTTGAAGGAGAGACCCAGCGTCAAAGCAAGCTGGCCTCCTCATTGGTTGGAGAACCCCAAGGGACAAGACACACTCAAAGACATCTGATATCCACGTTCCCCTTTAAAGCCACGTCTGCCTGTTGTGTTGTAGTTTGGCTTCTAAGAGTTACTAGAGCAGCACTTTAATGCATTTTGAGTCTTCCTGTAGGTTTCAACATTTGTGCACAACTCATAATTTGTCAAATATGATATAGCTCTTCTATTTTTCTGAAAATGAAACACAGTGTTGAGATAACCATTAAATACATCAGCGTCACAATGGCAGAAATGTGGTTCTTATTTTTTCTCAAACTAACTTATATTTTGTTCATTTGAATTTTGTAGTGGGTCTGCAATTATAGCACAAATAAAAGCCAAGATGTCACTGCTGAAGTCTGAGAGTGAAGGACGAGGAAAAGTTTAGATGTTATAGTTGAGCTTATGTGATCAGATTGCAGACAACCCGCCAACACCCCTATATTCAGGTCCAGTGCACGGTAGATTAGATCTCAGTAGAAGATGTGGGCGGAGTCATTGAGGACCTGACCCGTGCGTTTTGTTGGCTGATTGGTTGTGCCCGAACTTGTTTTCATCTGTACAAAGGTAACTGAAATGTCCTGAGTTACCATGACTTTGCATGCAGTAAAGGAGATAGTTCTCCATTGCATCCTCTGCATGACTTTGCATTTTATGCAGAATGCACATCCTCTGTGAGACATGCGCTGACCTGGATGACTATATTGATGTTTTAACTATGTAGAGGTGTTATACGTGTGTATGAGTTTGAGTTCAGATCCTACCAACTCTATTAGACATTGTGGTTCTTATCTTGGACCATGAATCTGAGCTACCTGTTCTACCTGTTGAATGTCTTATATTTTTCTCTGAGCTTACGTTTTGGTCTTGGCGCCGTGGATTTGGGGCGTCCCCTGTTTTGCTCCACCAGCTGACAATTACAGAGGCAGTTGGTATTTTTATTTGGAAGAGAAAAAATAATTATCATGGGGCTGCCGCATTCAACGTAGAATATGTATAATGTTTATTCTAAGAGCTATGAAAACATTTATCTAATCAAAATAGCATATTTTCATTTCACTCTGTTAGCTGGAAGCACAAGCACATTTGACAGTCTCACACTCGGCTTTAAAAACTCATGTATCACTGAACCAGTGCACGCATATAGCCACAGTTCTCACTCTTTATGACAATGCCAGTGAATCAGCGCTGATGATAACATGCCAACAATCAGCCTACAAAACCAAATTTATGATATTCCAAAATGAAAACACCAGACCTGAACAAAAAAGGCCTCATGTAACCAGCAGGTTGAAATAAGTCAGTATGTAAATGTATAAGAGAACTCCATCCTTCCTACAGAGCCTCTACTTTAAAAACAAAAACCATTACATGGAATTTTGTGTTCATCCATTTATTCAACCTTGACCGCGTTTACACAGGGGGGGCCCGATGAGAGCAGTTCACGGTGACTCTTCTGTGTGGACACCCTGTGTACACAGGACAAGAAAAAAAAAAGAGAAAAAGGGGCATCAAGCCAACATATTAAATATTCTGCTAAAATGTTCCAAGTAGTGGTGCACCATGGCCTTTGTGTGCTTTGCCAACAGAAAATGTCTGCGTCTAGCTAGTCATTCTGGTCATGTAGAATGAAACTGAGTAACTGGGTCACGCACACTGACAGGAAACGCTCACACTCAACAAAGACACTGTGTGCATACTGATGGACACATTTTTTTCAATGACAAAGAACTTTAGATAGAAAATGAAACGGCAGTCATGTAAAGCTCGTCAGTGGTTTAATGTGTCGCTGGAAGAAAGAGGCTTTGGCAAAAACATGTTTATCGTGTAATTTTTGCAGCTTCTTTTTATTCAACAGGTTGTTTTTAAATGCAGCTGCAAACCAAAACAGCAAAGAGATCATTGTGTCAAATACCTGACAGAGCTGTGGTTGGCATCTGTTCAAACACACAACGTCCAGGGTTCAAAGACTGACTCAGAGAAAGAGGCACAAAGACGCTGCAAAATGTACGTGAACAAGGTGAATAGTGTGTATGTAGTTTTTCTATTCAGTCTCAAATGTGAGGATGAATTAGGAAGGTGGTGTCAATTACATTAAGTACAAATTTGTTTGTTTAGTTTACATGACTGAGGTCAGAACTGGTTTAGCCTGTGTGTGTGTGCAGAGGTGAATGCTGAGTCACTGTGAGTGTCCAACTTCAGGATGCAGCACAGACGCCACAGGAAAACAGCAAATTACTGCAGAAACAGTTACAAAAAGTAAAAACCGACTTTAAAGCATCAATATAATACAAAACAATATTAATAGTGGGGCATATATGAAAAAACCGCAGTCATGATCAGATCCCTATAAACCCTGGAGGATGAGGAACACATACTTAAAACTTAAAATCACTGAAGGAACATAGCAGGAATACAGCTACTTTCTTCCAACCTTTTTTTTTTATTGTTTTATCTTCTATTTTGCCTGTTTTTTTTTACCATAAAACTATATTTCTATGTATAGTTCTGACATAAGTGAATAGTGTGATTATTAGTTGCAACGTCAGTGTCTAACTGTCATTTTTTTAACTTCCCATCTGTGCTCAAAATTGCATAATTGTAGTGGTGGATTCATGTTTCTTTTTTGCCCATATATCATGATCTGCACATGAGAACAAAGAGTATTGATACAAAACAAGAGAAAACTCCTCCACACATTTGGCTTTGTTAATTCTTGCTGGTACAAGCAACTAGATATGTAATCTTCATTTAAGTAGATTATAAATGCAATCAGCTGATCTGTGCGGTTAATAAAAATATGCATATGTCTTTTAATCAGACCTCATGCTACACTGAATTACAGAAGGGGACGGGCGGGGACTAACATGCTTAGACAGGGCGTGAACTATCTTAACTGTCTTGAGCCACACATCTTTGTTGATAACACAAAAATGGGATGGAACTTTATTCCACCAATCCGGATATGGAGGGAGTGTAGGTTGTTATAAAACCAGGTTTCTGTCACACTCTGGCTTCACTCTTCACTCCTTCCACCATTCCTCATCTCATTCAGTCTGACAGTTGCAGCAGTTCACTCTGAAACCATGGCCAAGGACATGACTCTGCTGTGGGGCTCCGGCTCTCCTCCCTGCTGGAGGGTGATGATCGCCCTGGAGGAGAAGAACCTGCAGGGCTACAACCAAAAACTGTTCTCCTTTGAGAAAATGGAGCACAAGTCCCCAGAGGTCATGAACATGAATCCCAGGGGTCAGGTAAGTTCAGACCGGTGTCAGTCTGTATATTTCCTTAAATACAATACAGTGATATATGTTCAATAAGAATGCTTAAACTTTAAGTAGTTTTAATTCCACTCTATCTGTCTTAAAGCTTCCTGCCTTCAAACATAAGAACTATGTCCTGAATGAGTCCTACGGCGCCTGCATGTACCTGGAGGTGAGAACTTGTGCCAAAGTGCTGAATTTGAGCCTACTTGAAATTTAATGAAGCCAGATACTACCAAAGAGTTAATAAGTAGGAGTAATCCACGCGCTGTCGGTGTTCAACAATGCTCCGCAGACAATCAGAAACCTTATACTGCATAGGCAGAGAAACCGGAGCTCCATGCTGCTGTTCATAATAGTTGCTCTTTTCATTTCAACAGAGTCAGTTCAAGTCCCAGGGAAACAAGCTGATCCCTGACTGCCCCGCTGAGCAGGCACTGATGTACCAGCGCATGTTCGAGGGTTTCACACTCAACCAGAAAATGGGTATGTTCACCCTGAAATGCAAAAGTATTTCACCACTGTTTTGCACGTAACAACTTTTGAACCACTTGGATTTAGTGACTTATTAATGTCTAACCAGGCCGCTAGAGCTTTTTCTCTGATACAGCTTTATGACTTAAGTTGTTGTTCCCATTCAGAGGTCTGCCTTTTGGGACTTTGTCCTACATTGCACTTGGCAACATCATACACCAATCTGCTACCTTTTAAACCAGAGACTTCATGTCTTCAGTCAATCTCCTCAGAGGAAGCTGAACATCAGCTGCTCTGCCCCCCTCGAGAGACCTGAGTTGCTGAAAACACATGCCATGCACTAATGAGCTGCACATTCACATAATTAAGCCAATGCATTAAGTGTACCCTCAAAACAGGTAGTGATGTTGAGAGGTCACATGTTAATCACACAAAGGATCACATGCTCAGACTGGCTTGCATGCAAAGCTGAAGTCATGAGGCAGAGTATTTAAGGGTGCAAAAATAATAGAGCAGAATTTCCAATGAAGTACATTTAGCTTGTGCATAATGTGAACATATCATTTTCTGCTGCTTTAAACTTTCATTAAGCATCTTGTACTGTCTTCAGTCTAAAACTGATGTTGAATAATAATGTCTTCACTGAGCCCAACCGCAGGTGCTAAAATTAAATGAAAACAATCAGTCACCGCACTGTGTGTGGATAGATTTTGTCGATATGTCTCATAGTTGTCATACATCCTCTGTCAAAGCTGAATGCCTGTGACATTTTTTTCAGGGGATGTTATCTACTACAACTGGAAGGTCCCGGAGGGAGAGAGACACGACTCTGCTGTGAAGAGAAACAGAGAGGCTCTGTGTGCTGAGATCAAGATGTGGGAGGGATACCTGCAGAAGGTAAATCCATACATAAAATACAACACCATCAGACACATAAGACATTTACAAAAGACGGAGCTGCAGAGGCAGGCTTTCAATTGAAGCGACACAAGCTCAGTATTTGATAAACTGATGCTGCAGATAGATCCGGTAGATAAAAATTATCTTCTGTAAGCTTCCTGTAACAGCCCAGTAGCACAAGCACTTTGTAGTATAGTCTTTGTTTTTCTTTCTTAAACAATATTTAAAGTTCAGATAAGACGAATGAAATTGGAAACTCTGGAAAAAAATTTAAAACTTCAGTTTACAATTCACACAAAAAATGACCTTTTAATCTTTTCAAAATGGTTGCAAAACCAGGTTTTGTTTTTAACATCTTTAAGAAAGTACTTAAAGGAATAATTCAATAGATTGTTTGTTAGCTTATTTACTTTTGATTCAAGAGTTAGATGAGAAGATCAATACCACTCTCACACCTGTAAGTTAAATGTGAAGTTGGAGCCAGGAGACAATTAGCATAGCTTAGCTTAGCATAAAGAATGGAAAGACTGGAAACAGCTTGCATCGGTCCAAAGGAAACAAAATATGCCAACCAGCACATAAGATAGCATATCAACACTTTATATCTTTTTTTTGTTTGTTTGTTTTTTGTGTAAAAACAACAAGTAGTTCAGTATTGGGTTAGCTATGTGCTGCTCCAACCAGGAAGTCAGACTGAGGCAGAGAAAAGTAAGACTGCAATGTGTTTTTTTCCTTTTGACAAAGGAAGGCTAGTCTCCGGTCTTGATGAATAGGCTTAATGTCAAACTCCTTTTAAGGCACTTTCACCTACAATGTGCGTGCAGTGTTCAGTTAGTCAAGCTATAACCCCTCCCATCACTGCTGATATGTATCTTGGTTGACATGAACTTGACCATGAACTGCTGCTTTCTAGGTCTCAGGCTCTTTTCTGGCAGGAAAGACCTTTTCACTGGCTGATGTGACTCTTTATCCAAGCATTGCTTATCTCTTCCGTTTTGGGTAAGTGGTTTGAATTACTGAAAATGACCTTAAACTGCACCGCGACAGGAATGTAAGGATATTAAAAAAAGCAACGCACGCGTAATAACTTTTCTTCATTCTCTAGGTTATCTGAAGAGCGTTACCCGAAGGTGGCCGCGTACTATAACTCTCTGAAGGACAGACCCAGCATCAAAGCTACCTGGCCTCCTACCTGGCTGGAGAAACCACAGGGACAAGACCTTCTGAAGGACCTCTGAGGTTCAAAAACACATGACCTGTTCCTGCTGTGTAATATATAACCACTCCTTGTATTGCACTACTTTACCTGCCTGCAATTTTTAAGAAATATATGCATTTGCTGTTACTGTACTTGATTTGTTCATGACTTAAACAACAGATATTTCTTTTGTGCTCTAAAGAAAAAACAATAAAAAGCAACTTTCAATATTGCCTTTGTTAATATCAATATCAGTTTACACCGAGCCTTCCTTTAGCCCACTTTTGTCTGGAAGATGTTTTACTGAGGTCTATGTAAGGAGGCGCAATGGCATTAAACCATAACTGTAGGGTCTACACCAAAATATTTTACCATATGCATCATACCTTATCTCTAATAGCAAATTTGATGTTGGGATGAAACTTATTTTATGAGGTTGAGGTGAAAAATCTACTTTTATCCCTGCGCCTTTAGAGTTTTTTTTTTTTTTTTTTTTTTTAAATAAACAACTGCTGATTACACTGTCCTTTGGTTTGTTTTATCCTCATTCTGGTTTTTAGACCTTCTGATTCCCTGTCATTCCCTGTTTGGCCGACAAGTTGCAACACAGTGTATAAACCGAACATGAACTTTTAAACGGGTTTTTAAATGTTTTTATACCAAGACTACAAAGATGCATTGTCTGGGTTAAAGCCCTTGTGGTGTTTTTACCATCATCATCTCACTGAGCTGTTATGTCCTTGACCCTGGAGGCAAATGAAACCATTATCACTGCATGTGACTTGCCAGTTTCAGGGCTCCAAACAATGTTTCATCCCCACTCATATTATGATACGTGCAGAAGAACAAGAAGTGACATTATAATTCAGGGAGAGGATTCAGCGAGTTACAAAATAGGTTACACATGTCTGTTGGTACCAGAACATCCACATGTTGATTTTAATCTGGACTCAGCCAATAAACCTGCAAGGTCATAGCTCCCTTACATAACAGGAACCAGATCACTGAACGCCTTGGATGGGACAATGAACTTTTGAAGTAAGTGTATATAAATGCTGTGAAGTAAAATTTGACTTGATGTCTAAAGAACATCATGCATTTTGCCAATGTGAAGCTGAGCTGTGGCCCGACTGTATAGGTAGGTAAGAAATATCAGCATTGTAGCATCTAGCTTATAAGTTCTATTTACTTGGTTATTGTAAAGCTGCCAATAGTAGATCCAATCACTGACTGTGTCAACAATCAGTTGTACAAATAGATCAAATGTACAAATGTTGCAAAACAGCCCTTTGGCCATTGTGCAGTTGCAGATTCACCACTGCAGTCGTGCTTCAGCGATCTTCTCCTCTGCAGAGCATCGGCAAAACCAAGAGGATGCAAACCAATTGGATTTTGGTGGGTCTGCTCTCTCTCTGCAGCCTCTCCTTCAGTCAAGGTAATACATACACTACATATTTTACACGTTAAATTACCTACTTTACTGAATACCACATGTGGTTTAATATGTGTCTATTTGTGCATGTAAAATGTGTCTGTGGCTCTTTTCTGTTTCTTCAGAATGCAGTCGAGGGCTTCAGGAGAACATGGATTTCCCGGGAACAGACATAACATTTCTCTACTCTCCTGATGTGGAGCACTGTCAGCAGCTGTGCACCCAGCACCCATCCTGTCTCTTCTTTACTTATGTTCGAGCTGAATGGACCAAAGATAACAGGTATGACACTGTCTGCCCCTTAATGATAAATAGAGAACAGATTTTTGCACATTTCTTTGAAAAGGAGAAACTGAAATATCACGTTGACATAAGTATTCAGACTCTTAACTCAGTTCTTAGTTGAAACACCTTTGGCAGTGATTACAGCCCCAAGTCTTCTCAGGTTTGACGTGACAAGCTTTGCACATCTGGATTTGGGGATGATGATCAAAAGAAATGGGAGGCACCTGAGCTAAATTTCAAGTGTCACAGCAACGGGTCTGAATATTTATGTCAATGTGATATTTCTGTTTTTCCTTTTTAATAAATTTGTCTAAATCTGCCGCTCTCTGCAGGCACTTCTACTGCTACCTGAAGTCCACTCCCTCTGGACAGCCCAGAGTCCAGACTCCACTTATCGGTGTCACCTCTGGCTTTTCTCTCAAACCCTGCAACCCACAGCCAAGTAGGTTCACAAACATTTTAAACCATTACAAAAACCATTCATTAGTTTGTGATGTCTGGGTCTAACACTCTCTGCCGACCTGCTGTGCTGTTTGTCTGCCAGGACCTTGTCTACCACAGGTGTACCAGAACGTGGACTTCCTGGGGGCGGACTACAGAGTCTTGTTCACAGCCGACTATGAAGAGTGTCAGAGAGTCTGCACACAGGACCCTGATTGTCAGTTCTTTACTTTCGTAAATGGCGTCTTCACACCAGAGAAGATAAGGTAAAACTCGGTAACATAATGTTACTTTGCAGCTTAAGTCACATTGTCATCTTTTGAAGACATGTAGTTAAAGGTAAAGTCATAAGTTGAGATAAACTGGAGAATAAGGCTCGGAGGTCAAGGTTTTTTGTCTCCGAGCCCGAGCTGAGATGACCCTGGTGATGTCACAGTGACATCATCTGGGTTATTTTCTCAGACTTGACAAAACTCCTCCAGAGCCACAGACGTCATACGACTGTTTTCACGGACTGAGTAGTTTTCCTCATGAATAGTGACTTGGGTGAATCCATCCAGTGCTCTGGCATCAGGAGGGTGGAGTGACGTAGCACGGCTCTATCATTCAATCATGGTGTCATTTTTTGTTCTGCTCCAGGTTCAAATGTCACCTCAAATACAGCTGGACGGCACCAAGGACTCCTCTTGTAAACAGAAAGGCTGGCGTATTCTCTGGATTCTCCCACAACTTACAAATAACTCAATACTTCACGCCAGGTAGGCAAACAGTCGCAGCATCAGGAAAACATCCTGCGGGTCGTTGTGCACACTTCCTTATTGTATTTCGTGTGTTTTGTCCAGCGTGTCAGAGCAAGTTTTTTGCAAAGACTGAGATCACAGGAAACGACTTGGAGACGCTGCCCGCTGCCTCTGCTGAACACTGTCAGGCACTGTGCTCTGTTAATCCACGCTGTACATACTTCTCATTTGTCAGGTAGTGTGTGTGTGTGACAAACTTTCTCAGAGTGAAACAAATACTATTTTCTCTCTCTCATGTGGCAAATAGACAAACTTTGTCCAATAAGACAGCACAAAATGAAATTAGAAAGTGCTAAGTTACTGTATATTGGAAAAGTTTCTACAGTGGTTAAACTTTTGGTAACTTTATTTTCATTATTTTTGCAGTAATAATTTCCACTGTATCTTGAAGAACAATCCAAATGAAATGGTGATCAGAGCCAAAGAGGGAGTCACATCTGGGCTACCAGTGCACTTCTGTCAGCTGGATAACAGTATGTATCACCAACAACACTAAAACTGTCAGACCGGTCACACCTCCAGTAGACCAGCACAGGTCACTGACCATCTATGAACTGCTTTAGTTACACACAGACAGTGTACACAGTTCCCACATTATGAGTTAATGACTGAACCACTTTTGCTCTAACATTGCATGTGGTAAACACTCTTATTTTAGACTTGGTTATTATATAATCTAACAAGACAAAGACTGGAATCATTTAGTTCATATGAATGTTTATGTAACCATCCTTTCACTTTATTGTTGGTGTAGTATTTCTGTAGTTTGGCCGGCAGGGGCAGATTAGCCGTGTGTCTCTCTGCTTACAGGCTGGCTGAAGGTGCAACATGAGGGAGTGGACTTCCAAGGTTCTGACATTCGCTTTGAACTGATGAATGATCCATTCACATGTCAGAGGACCTGCTCTGCAGATCCTAACTGCCAGTTCTACACCTACGTCAATGAAAACTTCAGGGACCCTGTTCACAGGTACGGTATTCTTTATGTGTACATGCAAACCTGCATTCATGCATATATTTCGTACCAGAAATCATGTAACACTTAACTCAGTCAAACACTATTGTAGACCCAGTTTAGAGTTGAATGATTACAGCTGTATTTACGAGCTGTTGTTGATTTCATGTCCCAGGCGCCGCTGCTATCTCAAGCGTGTCATCACCATGCCTGCTCCTCCCAGAGTTAACAAGCTGCAGAATGTCGTGTCTGGTTTCTCCCTGAAGAACTGTGTGTAGAGTGCTCTGCACATGCAAACACATGGAAACACACACACAGAAACACACATACAGATAACTGGTAATAATTTACAGAGATACTGACAAGGTAGCTACCACGTGCAGAAATGTAATGTCTATCAAATTAAGAGAAATGACAAGATATAGTGGTTGCATCATCATTTTAACAAATATCAGACAGTTAATTTTTTAAGGTTAGTAGAAATACATAATACTGTACTGTACATGTGTGCTACCAGTCAAATAACTGGAAAGTTAGTCACTACAGTTTGATACTATACTAATATTACTTGTAATCATACTAATATAATGATAATGATGTCTGTGATGAAGCAGCCCTGACCAGCAAACAATGTGATGGTAAATCATCCTTTAACCTGGAGAGAGCTGAGGCTCAGACCTGCAACAGCGCTGCTCCACACCTTGTTTCCCAGCTCCCTCCCTCTGCTTCAGCCCCTGTCAACAGTGATCAGCAGTCAGCAGTGATACTCTAAAAACCGAGTCTTCCTCCAAAATCTCAAATGTCTCGAGGATCCAAAGCAAGAAATCAAACTGAGCTGGGAACTGAGCCAGCCACTCAATGTCATGCTGGGCTGTCTAGAGAGGGGCTGATGGAGGATGGAAACATTGCCTTGTTTGCCTGCAACCTCATAGACACAGAGGTCATAAACCATCTGAAGCCTACTGTGAGCTTTGCAACCAATACCAAGCTGTCGGAGATGAGATTCCATATAACCTTAACATCCCCACCAAAACAGAGGAAACAGGGCCAAAGAAAGAGCTCACGAAGCTGGAGCTGCATCTGCAGGAGGAACAAGCACGCCAGGAAGGAGCTCTTCTCTCCAGGGATTATTACAAAGCCATCTGCAGCAGCAGAGACTCAGACCAAGTTGCTCTCTTGTTCTCTCTGTGGCCAGATGGAGGCTACAATTTTGTTGCTACAGTTTTTTTCATCTCTTTATTTTTGCACATTTCTTGTGTTTCAATTCATCCATTCAAAGCTTTGTTAATAGAATTTCTAAGTTGATGCAGTAGGGTGTTGGGCCACGATTTACAGAAGCATGTTTACACCAGCAGATGGCGGAAACAGATATACATATACTTCAGAGAGTCAAATTACTGGCATCATAGCACAGATGACCTAAAACTTCATTGAAATCAACTATACAATTGTAAAACCTTAATTGACTTGCTCTGGACTACTTTTATTAGAAGATGGTGCCAAAATGTGACCCTGGTCCACCTCTCGAATCCACAGACTTTAAGTCTTAGACCACTTTCCCTGTTCAAGTGAATATTGGTGAGGACACAATACTGAACACCCTCTATCCTTAGACTCTTGATTTATGGTTCACACATAGACCATGTTGTGTTACATACTGTGATGTAGGTCTGTTTAACCATAAATGTACACGTATGTCACTATAAATTACATTGTTTGAATTGAGAGCCCAGTCTCACAGTCTCTGCCTTGTCTATAACCCCTCTCCTCACCTGCAAGCCCCCGAGACATAATGGGAATAATATTCAAATATTTCTGTGAATTTCATTGTGTATTTCTTGAATTCACTGTCATTTATTACATTTTCATCCTTGTCCCTGCAGTTCTTGCTTGATTACCTGCAGTATTTAGTTTTGACAGCAGAGGTCACCAAACTATATTTATAAGCCACTGCTACTGTCCTTACTTCTACACCACTTAGTGTGGGTAGAAGACCATAACAAAACAAGAACATTATGTTTTATCAGATTTATCTATTTTATTGTGGATGCAGTCATGGAGGATTAAGCTTCTAAAGGCTTTTTATTTCACTGGCACAGCAAAAGGTCGATCACCCCTTAATGAATCTGGACTCTGAACAGCCAACAGAACCTGAGATGCAGCAGCCAGGACCTGACAGCACCATTACAGTGTTTTCCTGTTTTTCTTTTTCACAGCAAACAATGACATGTCATGTAAATAGTTCACAAGTACAAATGTAGGCACTCAAAAACAGCTGTTTTGGTCAACATGCACACGCAGCTCATCTGCTTTGACTGCTGCTGTGCTTCAAGAGTCTTTCCTGGCTTCAAGACAACTGAGAAGATTGGAACATGGTGGCACTTATATCTTCAAACAGAAGAAGAGATAATATTGGTACATTACTCGACCCTGTTATGTTCAAAGCTGATGTTAGTGTGAACAGTTGCATATTTATCTTTTTGTTTTGCTATCGCTACATAGCCAACGTTAGCGTTAATGACTGTTAAATTACCACTCTAGAAGAAACGAGTTCAGCATTTATCACACCTTTTCTTCTACTGGTTAGCATGCTAACCTGCGAACCCCGTCTTGTCACTTTCCGACAGCGACTCACTGAAGCCTCCAATCTGAGGCTCAGACTCAGCGCTGCTCAGAAGTCTTGTAAACGCAACGGTGGCCGAAGCTCTTGTCAAGGGACAATCACCTCAATCTGCTGTCGACAGAAAACCAGCGGCAGCAGAGAAAATGCACAAATAGGCCCACAGCTTTGTCTCAACCGTCTATGTCTAGCTGTTTCCCTCTCCAGTCTTTCTGCTAAGCTAAGCTAACTAGCTCCATAAATATAAAACAGACATGAGAATGGTATCAACCTTCTCATCGTACTCTCGGCAAGATAGCAAATAAGTGTAGCCTATTTCTGAAGGTCAAACTCTTCCTTTAAACACATAACATGTACCCGCGTTTTGCTGTGATGATTTTACAGCAAGTTAAAGGAGCAGTCTCGTGTGTGATACCAGCACGTTTCTGTCTGCTGGATAACAGTATGTACCATTCATCAAATCTAAAACATAGAACTGACAGAAAAACAAAATTGACATTGTGACAGTTTCTGTATGCACAGATCTTCTAAGTGTTTTGGATGCTTGGAAAGGCTAACGGTGCCCCATCAAACTATTCATTTTTAGCATTTACAGTCCATTAAACAGTAGACGTCTTTGTGACAAGATGTTTAGCGTTATGATAGCAGAATTTTAGGAATGTGGAAAGCAGTTGTGCCATTTAGTTATTTCTTCTCCTGTCTTTTCTTATTTTTAGCAAAAGCCCTTTTATTGGCAGCACAGCAGAGTTGTAAAAACAACACTGACATTTCACTGCAAGCTTTTATGACAAATGTGTTAGCCAACGGTTGCTTATGTTCACATCATCTAGCAGACAGAATAACATTCATTTGAGTTATGTTTCTGGTCACCTGACAAATCAAGTCTAATCACTCTGCTTTTAGCTCCTTTTTGGAAATATGTGGCTCTTTAGCTGCTAGTCGCTAACTTTATCTGTCTGCCTTTTAGAAATAGCCATGTAGAGTGGGGTTAACCAGATCCCAATCCCTTGCCTGAGGCTGCACACAGGTATGTCTGCACCTTATGCATGCACACACAAGCATTAATATTGTCAGAGATAAAACTGCATTATATCCTTGCACACTGAGAAACAGTGACAACGGGTACGACAATAAGTAAGTACCTAGAAATAGTGCTCACATGTTTAATTTGGTCTGATCAATTTGAAGACAGGTGTAGTCTTAAAATTGACATTGTGACACCTAATTAAAGATTACACACACACACACACACACACACACAAATCGAGACAGATCTTCAAAAAAAAAACTGCACACATATAACCCAATAAACAATTCTTCACTAATACAAGGATGAGTTTATTTACACATCAGGGGGGAAATGTTCTCTCGCTTCCTGTTTTTCTCTCACTTCTGCCCTCCCCCCTGCATATCGAACCCTCCTCTTTTCTTCTGCTTGAACCACAGCATTAGTCTGCTCCGTACACTCTTGCCTCACACACACACACACTGACAAATACACACAGCACTTCCCTCCTTCTTTCTCCGCCGTTCCCTTCCCTTCCCTCCTTCCTCTCTGCTCCCTCCAGCCTCCCCTCCCCCGTGGGAAACCCAGTGCAGTGTGACTGTGGTTGTCCTTCCTGGAAGCTGTGGTGGTGACTCTGGCTCCTCCACTCAGAGGCTAGAATAGTGCCAGCCAGCCTGTGTGTTGACTGTGTGTGTGTGTGTTGACTGTGTGTGTGTGTGTGTGTGTGTGTGTGTGTGTGTGTGTATATGTGTATGTGTATGTGTGTGTGTCGAGCGTGCGTGCGTGCGTGTGTGTGTGCGCGCGCGCGCGTGTGCGTACGTATGCACCCTCCACAAACATTCCACCACCATACCGTCCGTCCGACCGCCGGCCGGCCTCGCACGAGAGCCACGCCGCCACCGCGGTTCAGTCCTGACGCCAGCCCTGAAGACTCACATTACACACACACACACACACACACACACAAGACAACACCACATAAACGAAACACTCAGTAAGGCACACACAGACACACAAAGAGGGCAGCGAGCGCATGAGACTGGCTTAAGCACACACTAGCACACTCACTCAAATAAACAATATGCACTTTGCGGAACACACACATTTTTGGACCACAGACCACAGACATTGCATCCTGAAGTAGATCAAAGCGTTCTCCAGCAGTAAACACACACACAAGGTTCTTCTCTGCTCTCTCATCCCCGCAGAGCTGTTTTGGTGAAGCACGGCACAATTATTCTGATCTTCTTGAGAAACAACTTGTTGCCACTGTCATTCATCATTGTTCGGGGGCTTAGTGTGCACCCTGCGCATGCTGTTCGACTCTCTATGATTCACACCATTTCCCTTCCTGCCCTCTTAAACCTTCACAGTTCCTCTCATCTGCCCTGTAACCCTGTCTCCTGCCTCCCTCCCACCCTGTTATTGAACGTCTACGCCGAATCAGTCACCCAACCACAACCCTTCAGATCTTTTTCTTTGTTTTCCCGTCTCTCAGTCTCGCTCAATCCCTCCCTCTCGCCCTCGTCTTCACTGTCTGTCCATTGTTGAGCAGACAGAGGCGCAGACAAACAGAGAGAGAAGATATCCGCTGGTGTACCACAAGATTGGAAAGGAAGAATGGTAGAGAGACAGGCGGAGGAGAGGAAGATACATAGGCTGATACGAGGGCAAAGTTAATTACAGGGGACTGCCAATTAGAGGGCAAAGCGATGGGTCTGCTTGCCTCGCCGCGGCATCCCAAAAACATCACCAGCTCCCACCATGTTTATCCTCTGCAGCCACAAGACTGCGGCTCCCATCAGCCTTCACTGGAGACAGCTTAGATGCAGTCGGGGGTTATGGCTGGGGAACATGCAAGCTGTGATTGCAGACACGGCTAATATGGATAAGTGGGTAACACGTTGTATTTTTGTTGTTTTTTTTTTTTTTGCTATTTGTATTGATAACACATTATGTCACTTCAATTGCATGTTTGCATTTGAAAGAGAAAACACACAGAGGAAAACATGAACAGAGGTAAAGGCACTTAGTCTTTATAGAGATTTTTGTCAAACATTCTTCAGAGTTGGAAAAGGTAATCAAATGTATAAATGTTTTTGAAAAAAACAAACAAATATCACAGTTAAAAGATCAGTGAAAACTCAACATCACCCTGTTGAGCATTATATAATATATATATGTATATGGCTCTGTTGGACACTCTTCTATGTGTGTATTTCTCAAGCAAGATCATGAACATAAATTTATTGAAATCTATTTCTTCACATTCCTCCATTCTTTTATCATATATGATTGTTTGTGTTTATCTAAAACTTCACCCATAGTCTGATATGGCTTTTAGAGTTCCTTAAAGGTGGACACAGTCATCAAAGGTCCAATACTTCTTTCTCCAAAGGGATCATATTTGCTACATGGTGCACATGGGAGCTCCATGTCCACTGTACAGAGTTCATTTGGAAAACAAAACCAGAGTTGAGCCTCAGAAAGCTCCGATCTCAGTCCCCCATCCCTGGGCCGCCTTAGCTGATCCGCTGAAGCCCCTGCGCTGGGCTGTGGGAGACCCCAGAGGTGCAAAGGGCCTGAAAGAGATTTGTGGTGGAGCAGAAGATGATGAAGTAGAGGAGGAGGAAGAGGAGGTGGAAGGAGAGGAAGAGGAAGGGGTGGGGATGGGAAGAGGCGAGGCCCTGGTGGCACAGTGAGGGGACGGCTGGGTCGGTCTGGAGGGGGCTAGGGCAGGGGATGCTGCGAGGGCGGGCATCCTGTGGACGGTGGCCAGAGCTGTAGGCGCGAGGAGCGGTGGCACACCCTGCTGGCAGCCAGCCAGGGGGGCGAGGCGAAGGGAGGCGGCTGATGGGTAGCTCCCCAGCAGAGCAAGATCTCTTCGCCCATTGGGGAAAGGCGGTGAGGAGGAGGCCGGCGAGGTGGGGGAGATCTGAGGGAAGGACGCCCACGGCCAAGGAGGGAAGGGCAGGGCAGAGGCTGGGGGCGTCTGTAAGAGGAGAGGGTCTAGCTCACTTGCACAGTGGGAGAGGTGGGAGACCAGGCGGGCTCCTATAGGGTCCGGGGACTCGCCCTCAAGGGAACTGAGGTATCGCACCACCTCCCCAACACACTCCCTAAAACCCAGGGTCCTGTAGTCGACTGCCAGGGCCCTCGCATCAAAGTATCCTGAGAGAGAAAAAGAGTTTAGTCATGCGCTGAATAACAGTAATGGAATGCAGTTAGTCATGAAAATTATACTGTGCATGCTGGGTGTTTTATCTTTTGTTTAAAAAAAGCGGACAATAACAAAATGTTGGTCTACTTTTTGATAGTTTTAGATCTTTTCCAGCATTACTTCAAAGGCCTTTGGTGTCTAGGTTGTGTAACGAAATGTTGTTTTAAGGAAGCAAAAAAAAAAAAAAAAAAAAAAAAATTCACCTTTTCCTCCCATGGCATGCAGCAGTTTGAGGTGGTCCACTGTCATCTGCAGAATCTCTGCTTTCTCCAGCTTAGATGAACCCTTCAGGGAAAAATGAGCAACATTTCACTCAGTTGCATCAGATTTTATGAAGCTGGTTTATTGCGTCTGTCACCGTGTCAGAATGAATAAGTTTAAACCGAGGCTTGATTTTGTAAGCATTTACCTGTTTCTCAAAGGCACTGGGCACAAGTCTCCGGAGCTCTGACAGGCTGTGGTTGATGCGGTCTCTGCGCCTCTTCTCTATGATCTGCAAAACAAGATGAGCAGAGGGACAGTTAGGGCCAACCAAAAAAAAAGAAAAGAAAAAAAGACAGCTCTAAAAAGATTAAGATCCAAGGTTATAATCCACTCACCCCTCTTCTCTTCTTTCGGGCCAGAATCTGTGAGGCGCTGCCAGGAGACATGGACCCGGTGACTGGGCTGTACCATGGAGATAGAGTAAAAGAGAGGGAGAGATGGGGGCGGGGGGGGGGTATGGTAACTTTGATTCTCCTGCATATTGTTATTATTACCCTTCTTAATATGACACAGAGGCAGGATGGCACATCAGCTCCCTTCAATCTAATTTGTTTTTTGGGCACAGAAAGGCAAAGGAGTGCCCGGGAGAGGAGGGAAGACGAGATTGTTTTTGGTTAAATGCATTTCTGGACATTAGTTTCAGTGAAATGACATGCTGTTCTCCTTTCCATCTGAGAGAAAAGCACTTTTAGAAAGATGATTATATAGCCTCGGGGCGATGCTTTTGCTCACATGGGGCTCCAACATGGCAGCATGGGATGTGAGCTCCTCCGAGTACAGTCACTCAATATGGATTGTGTTTGTTTGTGAACTCTCATCTTATAGGCCAGAAAGAGGCCTGTCAGCTCGGAGTTCCCTGCCCCACCAGAGACTTATTGCGTTTCTATTAGAGTTGAACGTGAAGGCTGCCAATTTAGCTGTGTGTTTTTGTTTAGGTTTATGTTTGATGGGACTGACTTGAAAAGGCTTCACTGTCTTCTGTTTGCATGTCACATGGCAATCTGATTTTATCCAAACCGTCTTCAGCGTTACTGGCGTGCTGAGTGCTTGTGATGTAACCAATATTCCTGTCAATGTGTTTTTGTGTAATGTAGATGCACTGAGAAATACACTCTAATGAATATTCCCTTTCGTCCACATTTCCATGCTCCCAACCAAAGAATTTGACTAATGCACCTAAAATACAAAATTGTATAATGACTGAAGAGTGTGTGCAGCCATTTTACTGCTTATCAGATATTTTCTGCAACAATGCAGCAAGTTATAAGTAATAGGCTGCAGTTAAGCAGCATGGCATCGTTGGTCACATTTGCAGGCAAAAGTGCAAGTGATTTATTTTCTTTCAGGTAAAACAATTTGTATTTGTAATTGTGTATTTTCCAGATTATCCCCTCTACTTATATTTAATTACATGCATATAAATAATGGAAAAAATATGATTAATTATATATGTTTGTGACAAAGAAAGATCACAACCTTAATACAATTCAAACTGAAAAGAATAACTAACTTTCAGCGTTTTTGACGGTGACTTAAATCTCTCAAATAAAGCAAAAATGTTTGTATGTTGCGTAATGAAGAGAGGAAGTATATAAAATAAATTAAATATTAGCATTCAGTCGCACACAGTGTGCCTCGAATGTTCCTACAAAATGTCATAAAATCCTCAATATATTTGAAGCAGGATTGTCTCTCTCTGTTGCTTTGGTGTCCATTTAATTATTCAGTTTAATTATTCAGTTTTTCTGCTTTTTTGCAACATCAAAGAGTTTCTGAACCGGAAAGGATTAAAAGTTTAATATAGCTACATCGCAGCAATTTGCAATTATAGTTTAATAGAAAAATATTTGATGAATTAATTTTAAAACTTGACTCAAAAGACTTTTTTAAAAAAGTGTTTGATCTGAAGATATTTTCTATCTTAAATACATTTATAATACAGTGAAAATTCTGCTCTTGCCTTCAGCCATGCTTCAGGCATGACAGGCCTTGTATAATTTTTTAAAACTATACACACTGTAATGAATGTCATGCATGCAATGAATGATACCAACCTCTGCTTTTTTTCACAGGGGCATGTAAAAAAAACATGACACATTTTCATAGAGAGTGAAAAATGCAATGAATATATATTTCTGAATGAGTTAATACGGGAAATTTGCTGCCACAGGCCTTAAGTTTAAACTTCAAACTGACAACTCAGGTTAAATTACTTAAATAAATTTACCAATAATTTACAAAGGTATTTGATCTGAATGCAGAAAACCTCTAAAGAGTAGGGATCACTCATTTGTCATTACTGTTTTATGAACCACATCAGCTCGTGAGACTTAGAAACTTTCCCTGCAGTCTCTCAGCTGGTCTGCAGTTTGGTGCATGACAGATGTCAAAATCTCTGTGAAGCTCACAGTTCACTGAGCAAATTTGTCTTGCACTACAAAAAACAACTGGACACCATCTAATTTTACTTTAAGGTGTGATTGGAGAGCATGTCTTACAAACTCAGGTGTGGCTGACGGATGCTCACCAGTAGCTGTCTTCCTGTCCCACGTCGATAAACTCGTCTGTGTCCGAGTCTGGGGAGCTGTAGTCGTGAGGTCTCTTCATGTCTCTGCTCCTTTCTCACCAAAAGACTAGACGGACGGACAGACGGACGGACAGACGGACGGACGGCTGGACGGATGGACGGATGGATGATGGACTGAAGGATCTGGGTGATCTTGTCAGCTGCTCTCTGCTGTGTGGAGGCACCAGACTAAAGACTGTCTCCCCTTCTGCTCACCCTGTGTGCCCCTCACACTGCGTATGCTGTTACTTATAAAAGCTTTGTTGTCCTTAGTTACTTCTTGTCACTTGAGTTTGTTTTTTTGTTGTTGATGTTGTCGTTTCTTCATGTGTCTTCTGTCCTTCCCTCTGTGAGTTAGCGGTGCCACTTGATCGACCCCCAAGGGCCCATGACAACTAAGAAAATTCACAAGCTGCTTTAGTCTTTTACTCTATCACTGGCATAGTCTCTTGCTTTCTCGCTCTCTGTTATTTCTCTCTTGGCTCCCTCTCTCTGTCACAGCCACCCAATGACAAAATAGGACTTTGGCAGTTGGGGCAGGGTTGCCAGTTTTGGCTCCCCCGCCTCCTCTCCCTGTCCCTCCTCCCTCCCTTTAATCTGCCCGTCCCTGGCTTGTCACTCTCCCTCCCTCCCTCCCTCCCCACACCCCGGCCCCATCTTTCCACCCCTTTGCTCAGTCATCCTCAGTCAATTAGCCTCCAATCTCATCCTGCGCTCCTTCCGTCCTTCTTTCTATCCTCCTTTCTTTCTCTTTCTGCTCCTTTAATTATACTGCGTTGTAGAACAATGGCAGCGGGGAGGAGGGGAGGGAGAGGGGCGAGGTGTGGGAATGATGGACCGTGAAAACACTCCATCATCTGCAGAGGAGTGTGTGACGGTACACAACATTTGACTCTCACACAATCACACAGGTGATTTGGAGAATGGAGTTATTGAGCTACTTTGTGTGTGTGTGTGTGTGTGTGTGTGTGTGTGTGTGTGTGTGTGTGTGTGTGTGTGGTGTGTGACAGACAAACAGCAGGGGGAGAAAACACTAGTGCAGTGATTTAAAAAAAAAAAAAAGGGTAGCCTGTGACCTATGCAGCTGTCAGTGATCTGGAGAGAACCACAATATGAAGAAAAAGATTAAAACAGATTATCTTGCCTTTTCAGTGGTTATCAACCTTTTTCATCTGACATTCCCCCACTGCCAGACAGGTCATTAACACCACCATGGATTATAAACTGTATGTTACTTTTAGCTACCTAGCAAACTATGTCAACAGTTTATAACTTTACTTTAAGCAAACTATTTCAAATATTAGTTTTAAGCTACATTTCAAATATCAGTCTGAGCCATTACTGTTTCAACTGTTTTTAACAATTTAACTGTTTGTTTCAATTTTAGCAAATCATTTCAGTTGTTTATCCATATTTAGCAATTTTGTTGGTTTACTTTTAACTTTTTCTATCTATTTCAACCCTTTATCCAACCTAAGCTAACTAGCTATTTGAAATGTTTATCCATTACTTTTAGCAAACTATATTAGCTGTTTGTTTATTGCTTTTTGCTAACTCTTTTAACTTTATAGTCATTACTTCTAGGTAAATACTTTAAATGGGCTGCAACTACAGTACCGCTAGTTGGGAATGACAGATTTATCCCATAAGGATACAACAACTGTGCACCTGCATTTATTATCATCTATTATTCAACTGCATATATTAGGTTTTTGAAAAGGTGACTTTTCACACAGACTTGGCATCAAGAAATCCTGCTAATTGAGAAAGCGACATTGGAACTCACACAGTGACTTTTAAACCCACTTTTGTCTGAACTTTTTTAATCTGTCTTGTGTTTGTGTGTCAGTGCCACGGTCAGTTCATGCAGAGATGAGGGCAGGTACTGAGGGGTCAAGAGACAACTCAGCCCAGTGAGTGTCTGAACATCTGGGCTCTTCACTGGACAAGATAGCGCTCTCTTTGTGCTCTCACACACACACACACATAAGCACAGACACACTCAAACACATGCTTGCTTGCAACACTTAGCGCTCGGTTCCGCTGCCACCGTGGGAAGATTGCTGGTACAGATTGCCATGGAAACACGAGACCCAGGCGCCGGTTGTTAGGAGCGATGCCTGACTGACCCAGCAGTGTGTGCATATGTGTGTGTTAAAGACGGAGTGAGGCCAAGTGGCATGCCCCCTTCCACACAATGCCCAGCTGAGTGTGTCTCTTCCTGCCTGGCAGACTGGAAGGGTGTGTTAGTTTAAACACGCTGCAGTGCATGACTGCAAGATCTTTGTATGTTTTTTGAACAAATAAAGGTGTACATAATGATTTACTTCTCTCACTCCAAGTTCTTTTTCTCTTTTAACATAATATTCTTTTCACCAGCCTTGCTTGTCCTGTTTAACCTACTTATATTAACTGAGCCCTGTCCGCCTACATTTGATCATGTTGTACATGTAAAGTAATAAACTAACTTATAACATATGCATGTGTGTGTTTATAAAACTCAAGTGTCAGTAATCAGTGTGACCATCACCAGGGGGGCTTATAGTGTGGTGAGTATGAGTCAGGACAAACAGAAAAGAGAAATCCCCACCCCCCCACCCCCCCTCCACCCATCCACATGTCCTTTCATTACCAATCACTCCTTAATTCAGATCTGGATTTCATTTCAGCATCAGAAAACAGGGAAGAAAGAGTCTTAAAGAAAAGAGACATCTATGAAGCAGACTTCAGTTTCTTCTCTGTTGTTGTGTTTTTTTTTTGTCACCCACTCACCCACCCTTGTCTTCAAAGATTAACTTTCTTCTCTGTATCACCAATGTTTTTTTCTTTCTTTTTTTGAAATGAAATCGCTCTGGTTTCACTCATTGTTTTTGGCCGGCACCGCCTCCCAGTTGTTCCAGGACGAGGCAAGTTGCATGAAAAACACACACGAAGTGGAAAGTAATTAAGAAGATGAATGAATGAATAAATAAATAAGTTAATTATGAAAATGGTTTCATGGTGGGGGTGTGTGAAGGGAGGGTGATGGAGAGAAACATAAGAGAGCGAAAGCTGGCACTGGATGGTGGGATGGAATTCTGGGAGATTTCTGGCGATCTTGGTCGGCCACTTCAAGTCCTCTCCCTCCCATCCCTCCAAACCACAACAAGGACACGTCCCTTATTGAAATTAACAAGCTCATACTTTTACAATTTGCACACACACGCACACATGCGCAGCTCAAATATGAACGTGTGAACGCTCAGGGACATACACACACACATGGCCATGAACTGGTTCATACAAGCACACACACACACACACACACACATGCAACTCCCTCACACGAATGTGGACAGTGCATACCCACAATTTATAAGGCACAAACACTCAGCTGCAATTATTGTTTCTGATGCATGACTATTGCTATTGTTTGAAAGTCTGTGAGATGGAACCAGCTCAACAGGATATTTTGTTTGTGACTTTTTCTCTGCATTCATGTCAGACTGAATAACTGCTCAGATATGTATCACTGAACGGTTGATTTCAATTATTTGTACTCAGTTTTTCAGAAAACCAACTTTAAGCAACATTATTTTCTAAAATGTGAGCACTTCAGTTCAAAAAGACACTCCAAAGAATTTAAACCTGTTGAAAGAGAAAGATAAGTAAACTTGTTGTAAACTTTTTAACACAAATAAATAAATAAATAAATATTACCAGCTTGACCAAATCCTACATGGCCAAATTCCAGTTCATGTGATGAATGTAAATATGTATTTTAAACTGCAAGGTATCCCAACAAATGATCAAATGTGATCAAATAAGCAAATTAAACTTTTGCTCACTGTCTAGCACCCCTGTGGAGAACTCGTGAAAGGCCAAATGTGGTCAAAGGAGCTCTGCATGGTGCACTGCTGTATGCAAGTGCTACTGACATATACCCAAAAACTCAGTTGATTTCTTATTGGTATGAGGCCTTTATAACAGTCAGCCTGTGGCTGAGCTTTCAGCCACTGGGGTCAAAATTGGATTGGCATGGGAACTGGCACCGGAGTAGCTTGGCACTGTCCAGGCTGGACCCATGAGGGAATTATCTGTCCCTCAGACACATAAGGAATGCCCGGGACCTGTGGCACTGTTGGTCTGGCCGTCGCTGCAGTTCACTTGGAATAACCTGGATATATGAGGCATTCCTGGAAACGCCAAGTTTGCTCCTATAGGGTGTTTCCAAAGAGCTGCATTGTGTTTTTATGATCTGATTGAGCTGATATGAGGTGTGAATAAACCTCAAGAGAAATAGGGTTAGACACAGTCAGTATATATGTTTGTGATAGTGGCTGCTGTGATTTGAGGTGTTGAGAGGGCAGGAGGGCTGCAGTGATGGGTCATGCTGCCTGTCAGAGAGCGAGAGACATAGAGAGAGAACAGAGAGAGAGAGAGAGAGAGAGAGAGAGTCCTCCCTCCTCATCCGGCTCCCCTACGCAAAGATAAATAAAGAGGCTAAAAGCCGAGGAGAAGAAGCAGAAAGGAGCTTTTGTGGTTGCCGAGTGGGGTCCCTTTCATGGCGGTTCCCACAGCACTGGGCCCGTGATGACATTCACCATGTATCACACACAGACACACACACACACACACACACACGCATGCTGATGGGCCCTGTGACTGCGGTGACTTTCGCTGGTGCCGGGCCCCAGACGGGACGGCGAGGGCCCCGAGAGCCACAGGCAGCCATTGTGCTGTCGCCGCGGAAACCAGCCTCTTTATGTCAGACATGTTTTTCTGTTTGTTTTCTTTTTTATGTCTTTAATGTGGGCAAGGGGGAATGTTTCCCCTCTCATCTCCCCCCTCCCCCATCACTGCTCTGCGTTATTTCCCCCCAATACCCATCTTCCTCCTCCTCCCACCAATCCATCCACATTTGTTTCTCCTCTTTTCCTCCCTCCTCCTCTTCCACTCCCTTCCTCTTCTTCCACTCCCTTCCTCCCTTATGTTGACTCCCCCCTTTTCCCCCTGGAGATCGTCATTTGTAAAGCTCTTTGCTTAGACAGCCCATATCTTTGTCGTGGTGTTGT